CAATGGTGTCTTCCAGATGTGTTGACTACAATTCCCATCAAACCTGAAACAATATTTAATAGGAATTTGGTAGTCTTGTACACTTAACGAGTGCCACATTGTGGAAGATCATAACTACAGTTGAATAAGTATTATTCAGGAGTTCTTTATTCTTTTGTATATCATTTAGTATTGGAAGTTTTCTGAACAGGTGCAAAGCAAGATAAAAACCAACATACTGTACATCTGCTCATAAGTACTATTGAATATATAAGAAATTGTATATGATTGCTGCTTTTAAAGCTTTCAGAGGAGTCATGTAACAAAATTGTAATGTTTTAATGTATCAGTTTCAATAAGCAAAATAAGGTAAACAATAACATATTAGAATACGCTTCCCCTTAATTGAGTTAGTTATAGTATTACATTTTGAAACATTTGGAATATATCGGTATGAAAGTGTATATAATGGTTGGCTGGTATCTGTTTCCAAGAAAATGTAACAGCATTTTTTAAAAATAAAATTAAACCATTTATATTAGTTTAGAGTCCAGGTTTCACATTTCAATGGTTTTAGCAGTACAGCAATTGTTTGCCCATCAGGTTTTGCAGTGGTAGCTGTTTGCTGACCATGCAAAGCAGCCTTTATCCCACTTCATTAGTGAATAAGAGTGGGAGTTCTAGCTACTCATGTTATATTCATGCTCTCATCACTACCTGGTTGAATTCCACAATGCTCCACATTGAATACTAGAAACTACATTTGGTATAGAATATATAGTCTGCCTGTTAGCTGGCATGTATCACCAGGAGCATAAAACTCCTATATTCTTCCAGTACATTTCTGGGTGCAATTCAAAGTGCTGGTTTGACCTTGCAAAGTCCTATTTTGCTTGGCTGCCAGATGGCTGATTTTATTTTGATTTTTCACATTGTTTTGTTATTACTTATTACATTACTTATATTTACTATTGACATTTAATATATGTGTTCATTTATTGCTGGTAGTCCTAGCAAATTACAGGTAGTCCTCATTTAATGACCACTCATTCAGCAGCCATTCAAACTTAAATGACAAGACTGAACGACTAGTATTACAACCAGATCTTTTATTTATGGCTGTTGCAGCATTTGTATTTGCTTTGATTTGACTTCCTTGGTTGTAACAGATCCAGATGATATTCCTGTGTTGTATGCTTATTCCTTTCTTATGGATAAATTTCAGTTGATAAAGTATATGATGTATACAAGGAGATCTTGGTAACATGATGCCAACCATGTGTGTATGTATGTATGTATATGTACAGTTCTTGTGATCAGCTTTACTTTAGTAGAGGAAAGAATTGTACCATGCAGTCTTGTAATGGTTTCAAACTTCTAATGATCTCCACTGTATTAGAGACAATTTTTGACCAGTTTCTCTCCAATTTGTCATTCTTGGTTTCAGCTCACCTCCAAAATTCTTGGATGAGATGGATTATCTAGACCAGTGATGGCGAAACTCTTATAGACCGAGTGCCTAAACTGCAACCCAAAACCCACTTATGTATCATTGGGTGCCGGGTGGGCGTGGCCCACTGGGTGGGCATGGCTGCAGTGGTAACGGCAGACTGGGTGGGACTAAAAAGTTCAATCAATCAATTCCAACTTTGCGAAATCTTTTTTTTCCCGTGAGAAGTTGAAATTGATTGATTGAACCTTTTTGGGGGGGCACACAGCGGTGGAGGCCTAAAGTGCAAAGGTTTTATAAAACCCAGCTGAAGGCCTAGGACTGGGGCAATGGTGCGTGTGCCCACAGAGAGGGCTCTGCATGCCATCTGTGGCATTTGTGCCATAGGTTCGCCACCATGGATCTAGACTCATGCTAATCTGATTTCAGACCTGGGTTTGATAATGAGGCAACTTTGATTGCTTTGGTGAATGATCTTATTAGATGGAGGACTACATTTCTATTGCTTCTCCCCGACCTTGCAGTTGTGTCCAGTTGGATCAACCATAGTATCCCCCTGCACTACATGACAGATGTGATTTTAAAAGGAAAGTTTGTTCTTTCTAAAGAGCAAGACAGTGACAAATTGGTAAAAAGTCCAATACTGCTTCAAGTGTCTATCTCTAAGCTATTAAGGCCTTGAGACAACTGTAGTATCTTGAAGTAGATCCAGAGCAAACAAATAATTAGTATAGTTCTTTTAGAATAGGCATAAAAGTAACCATATTCTATTTACTGTTCTCTATACTTAATACAATTTTTTTGTGTCATTTTCAACAGAACTGTAAAATCTGAGACAGATAACAACAAAACTAGAAACACAAACTTCAGTAAAACTTATTCACAAAATAGTGAACTTAATGTAGATTTCAACAGGGGAAGAGTTGACAAAAGGAAGACTACATTTTGAGTAATGAATTGGGTCAATTGGGATATATTTTATATACAGCATGAAGGATTAGGTAACATTAGACACCTATGACATAGTGGGTCATCATTTCAGAGATACTTCCTTACCAGATATCTTACCACCTTCAACAATGGTGAAGCTTCTGATGTACTTGAAAAGTTCTTAAAAATTCAGGAAGATATTTAGAGATCTCTGCCTTAAAATAGGCCATGTTGAACTGTATAACACACTCAAATATCAAGTTCATCAAAGGAAATGTTTTCTGACATTTCGTATTAATGTCATAAACTACTTTATGATAATTTTTTATGTCATCAATTCCACAGGAGCCATAGGTCCTTCATTTTGGACCCATTTTGTAAGTTTGCCCATCTGAAGTAACTTGGTTCAAAAATTGTTGCTGTATGATGCATTGTTTTGTCTGGTCATAGGTTACACACAAACAAGCATGAGAGTTTTAGTAGTTTATAAATGAATGTAATTGAGTAGGCATAGCTCAGTATTTAGTGCAAACCAAGCAAATGTGATACCATAATGATTTTTTGGGGACATATTACGGGTAGTCCTTGACTTCTTGCGATCACAATTGAGCCCAAAATTTCCATTGCTAAGCTAAGCAGTTAAGTGAGTTTTGCTCCTTTTTATGACCTTTTTGTTGTTAAGCGAATCACTGCAATTATCATAAATACATTCCAGTTGCCAAGCACCCAAATTTTGATCACATGACTGTGGGAAGGCTGCATTGGTTGTAAGTGTGAAAATTGGTCATAAGTCACTTTTTTCAGTGCCACTGTTAACTTCCAACAGTAATAAACAAATGGTTGTAAGTCAAGAACTGCCTGTATGTTATATTTTTTAGCATGCTTAATTTGTTATCTGAATGAAACATCAACAGGCTGAAAAATCTGTGTCTGAAGTGATTGGGTGAATATCATATACCCTGGAGGCTATAATGGTTGAATGATTAATTGCCTAAACATGCTATGTAATAGGATCATATTTGTCTAGTCCAGGGGTGTCAAACTCGCAATGTCACGTGATGTGTCATGATGTATCGTGACTTTTTTGCCATTGCCGGCAATGGGGTAGGCGCGGTTTTGCTATGATGCATCCAGCCCATGGGCCGGCAGTTTGACACTCCTGGTCTAGTCTTTCTTCTCAGTATAAAGAAGATCATAACTTGGTACTATTTCTTAAAAATGTCCCAAATATTTTCAGGTAGTAGCATCTGATCTTCTTCAGGACTACTCTTCTTACTCTGGAGAAGTAAAGTTGTCTTGTCATGGAAACATGCAACACTGGCTCAATGGGTCTGTAGGCATGTCATTATTATACTAGTAAATAATATGCAGTCTTCTTTCCAACTTTGGAATTGAAAAGAACTGTGTGGCTGCTAAGATATTTCCAGCCTAAACATTGGAGTTTTAAATCAAAGAGAAAACTTAATTATTTCTCGGATGGGAGCTGTAACTTTCTGTGAAAACTGCAATTGTTTGAAATAACAAATACGGACTGTACCCAGGGAGATAATGTATTTCTTTGTTAGAATTATTTCCATAATGCTACATCCCAAAATGATTCCTGGTGGTTTCTGGTAGTGTTAAAAAAAATCATAAAAAGACAGTCATTAAAACTCAATTAAAATATCCAATTAACAGCATCACCTCTCAGCAACCAATCATCTCTTTTTATAAATACTGTAAAGTGAGACTTGAATATTTCTTAATTACATTTCGTGTGTTTTATAAAATGCTGCTTAGAATGCTGTTTAAATTCCTATTATGAATTATTACTAGCAATATCTTTTGCATTATGAATGTTTTAATAAATTCTTTTCAGCATTATAAAGTATAATATATTTAATGACTTGGAACAATATCTCAAACTAAATCATCTGGTACGTAGCATAGTGCTGATCATCATATAGTGAAAACAGGAAGGGGGGCACTTAGATACATTTGTACAAAGTTCCCCTCTTCCCACTGAAATCCGTAAGGTGAGGCAAACTCCCCAAACAGCCCAGTGTGGGAGACTATGGAATCTTGGTGGATGGAGAAAGGATAGAAAATAGAAACTATGTTAATAGTGGAATTCAGTACCTTGGAAACAAATATTGTGTAGAACAGGGATAGGCAACCTCGGCTCTTTTATGACTCGTGGACTTCAATCCCAGAATTCCTAAACCAGCTTAGAGCCGAGGTTGCCTACCCCTGGTCTAGAACACTAAACTGAAACACTCCTGGTACCATGTATATATGTTAGAGGTTAAGTAGTTTTATCTTTGTGTTTGCTTCCAGTTAGAACTGTTTAATGGAAAAATTCTAGTGAATATATGCTGTTTCTAATTTAACCCAGAATTGTAAATTGCTGTTTTAAGTAGCCATCCTGGTGAGAATGAATAAGCTCCAGGCAACCAGTTTTTTAAAGGTAGAGGAGACTCATATGCAAATGGTTTTGATAACTATATGAAAGGGAATGGATTAGTAATTTTTGTGGCTTGCTCATGTTAAATATTGTGAAACTAACTCAGTCTTCTTAGTCATCAGATAATGATAAATTCAAATGGCGTTATGAATGAAGAGGAAAAAATAAATATAATCTTATTTGTGTGCTCTGTTCTAGATTTTACGTTTTATTGTTGGCAATGTCCATTATCTTGTCTGCCTCAGTGGTCCGTGTGAGAGATGGACTCCCTTTATCTGCTTCTACCGATTATGAACAAAACACAGCTGTACAGGAATGCCGAAAGTACTTTAAAGGTCTTGCAAAGAGACTCACTGAGTTTCCAGACCGATGCACCTTGCAAACAGGAAAGTATAACATAAAGTAAGTTTTCTCTGGCATGTGTATTCTTTCTGCAACATTGGTCTTTATTGTTTCATATAACCTAAGATACATTAGTTGCTCTGATAACAGTGAAGAAGGCATCTTTTTGCTACCATGACATTTAGAAATTACATTCTTATTAAGAAGCATTCCTCCTCAAATCTGCAAATCACTTATGCCTACCAGCAAAGGTCCTACTCTTGAACTACTGCCAGAACAATGAGCTAAGGATGCAGGCCAACTCTTTTGAGGAGTATTACTTATCAGAGCTTGGATTGCCCTGATAATTTCCGTAGAATTATTTTAAGCAAGATCTTTCTGGGTCCATCTCTTTGTGTCTCAAAGATTAAATCTTTGGGCAGTGTAAGATCTGGCATAAAAAACTGCTTCATTGCATGCTAGCTTTGTTAACGGTAATGTTATCTATGGCAGCACTTACAGTTATAGACTCAGTCGTATAATTAACTTCTATATTATTTAAGGAAAATAAATCTCTGATGCATCTTAACCCTATGTTTTTATTGGAGCAATATTATATTTTGAAATGTTTATTTATAAAGAAAAACCAGGGAAATTTTATAAAGCTTTCCTTGTATTATTAAAATGCATCTTTATTATTTAAGAAGAATAAACTACATGTTCCAGTCTTCCAATTTTTCTGTACTATTATATTTTTGTAATTCTTTAAAGATGGGAGGGGCAGATAGTATATTTTTATATGATGTGCCACATATTTTTAAGATGAAGTGTCCCCTAGATTAGATTTTATAAAGAAAATTAATGGGAAAATCTGTGCAATTCTGTGTAAAGAAATGTAAATTGCCTATATGCACAATGCAAAGATAGAATATTTATCTCATCTACATTTGACTCAGTTTTAATATATAAATTTCCTGAGATATTTCTGATAAATTCTTGATGTTTCAAAAATAAAATGTACTGAAGCAAAATAAGCTAGTATATCAGCATAACTATTTTAGCAGTGTTGGTTATATGGCACATACATCAAATTGTCTTAGAACTGCTATTTTGAATGCGTAAGAAAATGATGAATGAAATGGATTATTTTAGTGGAATGTTTAATAAAGGAAGACCATAAGCGTATGATAAAGAGTTTCAATTAGAAGTGAAGATTTTTACATTTTATAATAAGTTTACTTAATGCCTTTGCTGGATTCTGATGAAGAGGCATCCTTGCTAGAAAAATATTTCACTCTCAATAAGTTAATTCTGTTGATCTTTTTTGTTGTGGAATGAAATATATTATACTTAGGAATAACTGATAAATAAAACATTTTGAAGACCGTAGCCTTTATCTATCTATTTCCTCCCTTCCTCTTTGAAGGGGAAAATCTCATTTTCCATTCTTCTTCATGTTTTTGTGTATATTTGTATATGAGAAAACAAACGAGATACATATCATATGTTACACTCATACTTAACCACACCCACCTCTTACCCATACCTACACCTGCCCTCTTTTTAAATAACATATTAACTATTGGTAGGTAATAGGAAAACGTTAAATTGAAGTAAAACTTCATTGTTCTGTGAAAATAGCATTATAGTTAGAGATGTAGAACACTATATTCCCCTTATGGGATGATGGAACTGTGTCATTCCGGAGAGAGTTCAGTGCATTCTGGGGGGGTCATTCTCTGAATCAGAAATAGTCTGGATCTAACACTATATTCCCCTTATGGGATGATGGAACTGTGTCATTCCGGAGAGAGTTCAGTGCATTCTGGGGGGGTCATTCTCTGAATCAGAAATAGTCTGGATCTAACACTATATTCCCCTTATGGGATGATGGAACTGTGTCATTCCGGAGAGAGTTCAGTGCATTCTGGGGGGGTCATTCTCTGAATCAGAAATAGTCTGGATCTAATATATGTCTAGGATACTTTAGACTGCTTCTGGTTCAAAAGATTTGCTTCTGGGAATCACTCCCAGAACAGCATGATCCAAGAGGAGGTTCAGCAAGATCATATTCTGTTTCCAATTCAGTGAGTTTTGTACACTCTTAATTTATTTTCTCATGAATAGTAATACTTTTATTAGACTCATGGTTATTTCTCTTGTTGTAGTTTTGTGTAAAGCACACCTAAGCTGATCTATGAATACATGATTTTAATTCTGAAACTTTTCCTCCCCCCCACCAAAAATACAGCTTTATTAGTTCCCTGGGAGTGAGTTACATGATGCTCTGCACTGAAAATTACCCCAACGTCCTTGCCTTCTGCTTCCTGGATGAGCTTCAGAAGGAGTTCATTACCACATACAACATGATGAAGACGAATACAGCAGTCAGACCATACTGTTTCATTGAATTTGGTAAGGGGTTCATCTCTTTCTTCAAGCATTGGTCTGATTTCGGGCTTTTGAACGTGTGTAATATATCTGCTTCATCATGGTTTACAGAATGTAGTATGGAAACCAGAATAGTGCTTACTACTCAGAATTGTACTGAACTTTAACACGGACAAATGTCTGGTAGTGGCATGGAACACTGGTACTCGTTCATATTACAAAGCCTTCAAAAGTTGGCATAATTTATAAACAGTCCACAGTTTTCAGAAACCAGAGGAACGTACCATAAGACATGGGATGACTATATTTCACATAGCTTGATGTCTCTTATGGCCCTGTTTTCTGCTTATTTTATGACCATCCCACTTAATGCCTACTGTTTCCGTGGGGATGCAGTAAAATTTATTTATTTATTTATTTCATACACTTCAGTAAACTGCATAGATGCCTGGTGGTTTACAACATTAAAACAATATTGAAACCTAAGGCAACAATATAGTAATAATGTGTTACAGTATACAGATGGCATGAATTCCTTATTCCCCAAATACTGTCTGGAGAAGCTCTGATTTTAATAGCTTCTGGAAGACTAATAGAATGGGTGCTGATCTGAACTCAGTGGGGAAGCTGCTTCCATAAAATAAAGACTGCAGCAGAAAAACATTGCCCCTGAGCCCTTCTTTGTTAACCACCATTAATAGGAAGCAGTTAACATATTTTTGGAGGGAACATACCAGTTGCCCCCTCAAATCCTATTGTGCTGCTTCATTCGGGCAGAGTGTGTGCGTTCCTGGGGTGGATAAGCAAAGAACAACTGGAATATGTGCCAAAGATATAGCGTCACCAGCAAGTTTCCCCAAGACCTAAAACTCATCCCAGTCACTAGGTAAAGAAGTAAAAATTATCAAAAGAAGAAGAGGAACCCAAGAAAGATAAAGATTTCAGGAAGAAACTTAACCAAAACTTTCAAAGAGCTGTTGGAAGATACAAGAAGTATTACAACAACTTCTGTAAAGACATTGGAGACAGACAGGAGTTCAAAAAGATCTCTGAACTGAGGTTTCAACCTCCAATTTGCATACCAAAAGATGCCAGTAGATAGATAATGCTATGCAGTCTTCAGATGCTGCTCCATGTAAAGTACACCGCAGTAATCTAGCCATCTGGGAATAAGTACTTGAACCACATTGCCTGTAAAGTGAGATGGTGCATTTCACTGCTCAACTTCATAATAATATCTTCATTTTTTAAAAAAAATATTGACAATAAAGGGTGCAAATCTGTATGAGATTACCCTGGGGTAAGGTCCTAAGAATTAAATGGAATATACTTTTAAATCAACATGTGTATAATGATGCATCAGATTTGATAAGCACAGTGATACTTAGCATGAAATTATAAATAAGCTGAGAATAAGTAGAAATAAAAAAAACCATTTCACCACCCTTGCATTCAGTGTACTGTGTATTTTGCTAATTAATTTGTGGTTGTCATGCTGTGCTTATATTCTATGGGAAAGTATTTCATGCTATAAGAGATGGCATTTTAAATATTATGAATATAATATTGTAATTCAGAAAAGTGCCTGGAGCTCAGAATAAATGCCTATTTTTCCTAAGAAAGTATTCCGAATTACAAGAAAAACTAAACCAAATGTAATTAGTTAATTATATTAGTTGCACTTTCAGGCTTACCAATGCAAGCAACATTAGTTTATTCATAATTAAAATTGTAGCATTTAATCTTCTGGTGCTGCAAAATTAATTAGCCCATGATATATACTAGGTAGAAAGCAGCAGCAATATTAAAATTTTCTACAGTGGATGATTGAATTTTAAATAATGAATTTAAGTGTGTGCATCTGAGATGTATGTTGCCCATAAAGCTATGGGGTCCCCAGTGTTGTTTTCATCAAAAATCTAAAGGGGGTTGCTTTAATTTTACACAGATAATTTTATTCAGAGGACCAAACAAAGATACAACAATCCACGATCTCTAACAACAAGGATAAATCTTGCTGACATGCAAACAGAAATTAGACTGAGACCACCTTATCAGATTTCGCTGTCAGAACTCTGTTCAACCAATGGATATCCCTATGGATCTCTACAAGAAAACAAAGATACAAGAAAAATGTCTCCAGGTGAGATGATGGACTTAAGTTTATCTATTCAAATAGATAAAGGTAGAGATTGAACTGCTTGATTTACTGCATTCCTTTTGTAAATTTCATGGCCAATTGCAAGATGAGGACTTCGGTAATGTTGGATTTTGAACGGCTTACTCAAGCTCAGATGGGGGGAAGGATCCTGAGCTAGTTTATCAGTGTAGTGTGAAGAACTTTTTTTCCCTTGGTGTCCCAGTGAAAAGTTACTGCTCACAAGGACAGTTTCATTATATTGTGAATGATGTGTGTGTGGGAGAGAGAGGGTATTAGGGACCATGACCCAGAAAAAGATAAAAATCCCAGGAAACCATAGAACTGATCGGTCATTATTCTCCCTAAAATCAGCAGAGATTGAATAATAATGAAGCATGTCTTTTACCCAATCCCTCATTTCAATGACATCATAGATTTCTAGATAGAAACATAGCACTTGATCAGTCTATAGTGGTCATCTATAAGAACTCAGTATTGTAATGGAGATGGAGAACTAATTTCAAAGCCTACTTTGTTGTGTTTTTGACAAGTTGAGCTTAGATATATGTTTAAATGAGTTAACTGTATTTAAAATTATTCTTCTATCCCAGAGGCTTCTCCCCAGTTACACGTTAAGCTGTCCACAATTTAGTTCTTGGCAAAGCAAAAAGGCTCTGCTTTATAAAGTTTGGAAAGAGCACTGGTCAGACAGAAGCCGTCCGCTTCTCTAGAGAAATTCACTTTGTCATTTCTGAGCATTTTCTGACTTTATGAACTACTTTGGAGAGCCTTTTCTGCTGCAGCTGTTCAGTTGTGCACAAGGTAGAATGGCACCCCTCTTTCCATCAATGTTCCAGCTCATTAACTGCATTGTTGGCACTTTTACACTTCACCGATTTAGACAGAATGATTTACATATGGTTCATTCACCTTATTGTCTATCTCTCTATGTTGCCTAGACTACAGGGGGTTTTGCCCTGTGTTTCCCCCCCCCCCCAAACATTCAGTTTCTGTCACTTGTAGAATCTCATAGTAACACTTGTGCACACATTCAGTATGAATTGGCAGTCATTTGTGAGTATAGTTGGCATTTTGTGGAAGAGATGAATATCAGCAAAGGTGCTTACACTCTATATTTTCTTTGCTCTTTATTTTTTCCTCTTCATCGCCCTTGCGAACAGGAAGAGAATGGGAAGTGTGGAGTTCTTTTGTATCCGAGGAAAATAAAATGCATACTAGAGTGTGGGGTCCTTGGGGCTCTCTGAGCTTGGTGGTTTTCTTGCAGATGTTTCGTTACCAAAGTAGGTAACATCTTCAGGGGTTTTATTGGTAACAAAATGTCTGCAAGAAAACCACCAAGCTCAGAGAGACCAGTTCAGAGCGACAGATATTCTCTTCTATTGAAATATAAGAGTTTCAAAAAAATGTCATCATACATCTTTTAGCTTTCCTCTGATTCGTTTCACAATGTTCTATTTAAGAGAGGCCTAAAACCAAACCCATCTTGAAGAACCCCTGTAAGATCAGCGTGGCCTGTCATTATATAGATATCTCCATATAGCTGACCAAGGAATAATTGACTAGATGTACATAGTAAGTATGTTTATGGGAAAAAATAGGAAATAAGTCCAGAATATTTTTGGTAGTATTCTGTATCTTTGGAAATGATGAAAAATATATGCATATGGGGTGTTTGTAATCTTTTGTATCCTCTTTTAGAAGCGACTCTCATTGGTATCTCGATGCCTTCTAAATAAGTGTATTTAGCGTGGGCTTTAAATCACTCTTTAGATCTGTAACATGCTTTAACAAAGAAAAAAACCTGAAATGTGAAAAAGTACAATTTTAAAAGCCTGATTTACTTATTCATTGGCTACTTGATAGAGTAACTTTGTGTCTGTGTTTTTATTTTGTTAATTTAATTGAATTGTTAAATTGTTAATTTAATTATTAATTTATACTGTATAGATTAGGTATATTAGTTTGATACAGGTAGTTTTCAACGTATAACCATTTGTTTAGTGACCATTCAAAGTTACAATGTCACTTTTTCAGTATTTTTCACACGACTATTGCAGCATCCCCATAGTCATGTGATCAAAATTTCAGTGCGAGCAACTGGCATGTATTTATGACGGTTGCAGTGTCCTGGGGTCATGTGATCCCTTTTTGCGACCTTCTGACAACCAAAATCAATGGGGAAGCCAGATTCACTTAACAACCTTGTTACTAACTTAACATCTGTGGCAAGAACGGTTGTACAATGGGGTAAAATTCACTCAATAACTGTCTTGCTTAGTAACAGAAATTTTGAGTTCAATTGTGGTCATAAGTCGAGGACTACCTATATGTTGTTACATCTTGTAGAAATTAAGTTTCTACTCAAGCAAAAAATACATTTTTTCCATGGGGGGGGAGGCTGCTTTTTAATCTGCACAATAATACAGCCCAGCAATTTCTAGTATGCATTTGCAACTAAATATAAAAGTTGCAAATTGACCACTCATGCCCTCAATTAAGCTGTGTTTCCTCATTTAAGGTACATTGTCTAGAACAAGAAAGAAACAGAGAAAAATAGAATTAGCAGGGTTTGCTCAAACATTAAAGAAAGCTTTTAAAATATTTATAGTGTTTTCTTCTCTCTGCTACCAGCCCCTCACCAACGACTGGAACCTGTGACACTACCGGGAATTGTTTCCTTTCTTCTTAGCCTTTTATGTGCTGCTTTGAATTTAATTCGTGGTTTTCATGCTATAGAGAGTCTTCTACAGGTACCGTAGTTACATTCATAACTTTGAAACAGGAAAAAATATTTTGAAGATTAAGAGGGTAACTTTATTTTTTCAAATAATTTGACAGTGATTAGCAGAGTAAAATCACTCTGGAATAGTAATTGCATGAGGACATTGTCTTTTCTTATCATGTGAAGTTACAGGCTGAGTTTGCATTCCTGAACCGAAGTGTTTGCCATCTCAGTTTCCTAGTTTCGTGAAAGAGCAAGAGAGATTTTTGATGCAGACATGTTACAGACATAATTCTCTCTTTCTTTCTCTCACCCCCGCCCTCTCCTTCCTTCCCTCCTTCCCTCCCTCTTCACCCAGCTTTCTTAAAAGGAAATAAAGGCCACTGAGAAATCTAGAATGGACTATGTTAAATGTCTAAGAGCTACATTCTTTGTTAAATTGTCAGGGAAGTGGGAACCTGGGTTGCTTGTCTATGTCATTCACATAAAATAGATTGAAGCTGATATGTTTTAAGTTTTGTCCTAGTGCCGTGGTGGCGAACCTATGGCACGTGTGCCACAGGTGGCACGCAGAGCCCTCTCTGTGAGCACGCGTGCCGTCGCCCCAGTCCTAGGCCTTCAGCTGGGTTTTGTAAAACCTTTTTGCTTTAGGCCTCTGCCGCCGTGTGCAGATCAATTTCAACTTCTCGCAGGAAAAAAAAGATCTCGCAAAGTTGGAATTGATTCATTGAACTTTTTAGTCCCACCCAGTCTATTGTTACGACCGTAGCCATGCCCACCCAATGGGCCACACCCACCCGGTACCCAATGATACATAAGTGGGTTTGGGTTGCAGTTTGGGCACTTGGTCTCTGAAAGGTTCGCCATCACTGTCCTAGTGCATGCTAATATTTGTTGCTGATTATAAGGGAATTCAGAATGTATTAATCCAGACAGATGTGATAGTTCAGACAATTCCTTATGAAGGGATGAAATCCCTATATCCATGGTGAGCGTAGAGGCTAGAAGGGCACTGAGAGAAATATCCCATTTGTGCCCCCCCCCTTTTTCTCTCTCTCTCTCTATTTCTCTTTCTCATTTTCCCTCATTATCTCTCATTCTGTCTCTCATTCTGTCACACATTATCTTTCTCTTTTAGACTGCAGACATGCTACAAAAACTCTCTATACTTTTGAAGATGAGAATATGTACATATTGTCCACTTATTAATGAGGGTGATACCTTGATTGCTTTAGTATTTCCTTGTCCTATTATATCATGCATATTAAAAAGCTGAAAAGTTTGACTTCAAAACTATATTTACCAATTGAGTTAAATTTCTGCCTTTCGTATTAACATTAATGAATAGTTTGTTCTGGGCACCATTCCAGTCTTCCTTGCGTTTTTCTCCCTCTCCTATAACTTGTCCTGAAAGCCTTCACATATTCCTCTTTTCTCTCTCTCATCGTCTCATATGGAAGAACTCCTTTTTCTGGGAAGTAGGCCAACTGTAAACAATTATATACAATCCATTTGTACTGTGTGTTCATATAAAACACATAAGGTGGGAAGGTAGGAATTTTGTTCTGGGTTAAACAGTCAAGTCCATTGCCAAACAAATGGAATTTGGATCTTCTGAGTCCAAATCCCCTGCCCAGGATCTTTAGGTATTGACAGAAAAGTGTTGTGTTATTCTTAGCTCTCTTGCCAAAATAATTAAATTTACTTTCTGGGTTCTGTGGCTTTTTAGTTTAAACTAGGGTAAATTTTAAACTAAAATTGTGACAGCACAGCACCATCTGCTGGCTATGTTCTGTTTTACATGATTCTCACTGAACCAAACTGCTCCGGTTTAAGGCCAAACTAAATATGAGAACAGCTGATCAGCTTGTTTAAAAGTGACAGGCACAAATTACTTAAAGTGGTAGCAAGGCTTGTGTCCAGTTCTAAGATTAAAAGGTGAACATCAGGCAAACTGCTAAATTTCCCATCTCAACCCGGTCCAGACTTTACATAATCTGTCATGGAAACTTTTCTTTTCTCCCAACTTGTTGATGGAACAGTCTTCAGAGCTTCAGGGAGAGTAGCCATGGATGGGAAATCAATTGACCCTTTTCATCCAAATGCTTAATGCAGATCTGGCTGCTGCTAGAGAAGATTTATAAAGAAGGGTCTACCATATTTTATTTTGTCCCTTGGAAGTATTTTTTATTGGTCCACCAGTAAATCCCAGGGAGCAGTCAGAAAATGAAAAGAGAGCACAGGTCACTCCTAGTTATTTATCTAACCTGATAATGGGATCAGCTGGACCAATATCAGGACCATTTTAACTTCAGTTTCTAATTATAAGGATCTTCATGTGTCTGTTTAAATGTAGATGGATGACATCCAATTCATGCTGATTAGAGGAGGTAATTGCTTATGACAGGGGTCTTCAAGCGTGGTCCTTTTAGACACGTTGGCTGAGGAATTCTGGGAGTTGAAGTCCACAAGTCATAAAAGACCAGGTTTGAAGACCCCTGCCTTACGATGATGATGTGGTGCAAGAATATTGATACAGTAGACCCTAGAAGACTGCAAACTGCCAATCTCAATACAGGAAAAACTTGATTTGAGTTCTGGAAAAGAGGCTCCAGAATTTCCAGTATTTAAGATAATTATCTCGTTTGCATATCATAAAATATATTGATTTGAGAATGCCTATTTTGCCCATTTTTTCAGAATGAAGAAGATGACTTCAGTTTTGTTATTGCTTTTTTCCTTGGCACAGCAGCATGTTTGTATCAGGTATGTAGTTATGTATTTTTAGATGTTAATAGATTTGTCACTGGTCACAGCCCAAAACAGGCTTTAGGATTCCTTTGGATTTGGTCATTCTGCCCAGATGCCTGACTAATAAAAAAAATGAACCACATTGAATTTATTCTGGTGGGGGGAAGTATTGCAAAGGCTGTTTTGGTGGGTTTGTACTATCACTGTAAAATGTTGTTGCTTTTATATGATTAATTTAAAATGATGCAACATGTGAGACATATTATTTTCTGTTGCAAAGTAAATCTCTTTGAGTGTCGGAAGAGCATTCGGAGATAAAAGAGGTATCTTCTTTATCTTCAGAACTCACCTTATTTTGTATTATACATGGTATTTGATAGAATTGCAATTCAAGCAAATACTTAAAAATTCCAATCAGTATAAAACAAGTTTTTATCTGAACTCACTAGTTGCCCCGAACATCCAGATTCTAATAGAATACCAAGAACACTATTATCATCTCTATATGGCTTCATGAGGCAGACTTGAATGACCAATTTTAGTTTTCTGGTGTTTCCGAACACTCTTCAAAGTCATAGGAAAGCAAAGAGGACTTTTCTTCCGCAAAAGAATAAAAGTCATATTGAAAGCAAATAAAGTCCTACAAGCTATCGTTTAACTATGATCATTATTTTTTTCTTTGTAGTGCTATCTGTTTGCATATTGCATGAGCTGGCGGAACATTAAATCTTTCTTAACGTTTGGCTTAATCTGCTTGTGTAATATGTACCTTTATGAATTGCGCAATCTCTGGCAGATCTTTTTTCATGTGACTGTGGGTGCTTTTTTAACGTTGCAAATCCGGCTAAGGCAGCCACAAGGAAAAGCTCCTGATTACAATGTGTGACGGATGTCCTCTGATAGTTTCATGGCAAACTTCATCCAAACAGTATTCTTCTCAGGAATGAAAAGCTTTGGTGTGCGAAGAGAAGTTCCATGGACTCTGAGGCACTAATAAGTCGGCAATGAAATTCTTCCTCAAAGAATTTTTTTTTTTTTTAAGAAAAAAAAAGGTTCAGGAACTAATTGGGGTAGAAATGCAATCCAATGCTGGAGTATATACCCCAAGGATAAATGAGAATTCGGAGGGCAGCATGAAAAGCTCCATTTTTCAGAACACTGACAACGACAAGAATCTGTATTGGACCTGCTCGGCATATTAAGTGATTTCTTCAGTCCCAAACCAGTTTTGCCTTTGTGAGGCAAGAGAAAAGGCTGAAATAAAGGGATGGTATTGCATATTAACAAACAGTTCGGTATGAATGAATTCCTAAATGCCAGATTATTGGATTGCACATAAATTTAATGGTGTGTGTCTGCATTTCCCTTAATTAAAACTTAACCCGGAAACCATCTGTTCCTGGGGATTAGTTCTTGAGCCCCAAAGGCCTGCCATCTAATGCTGAGATAATTATGAACTGCGTTAGTACTTTATTTCCTTCTGCCTTCTTTCATGTGCTTTGAGAGACTTAGAGCATGATCTTATCTGCCCTAGTGCATCAATAACACCACCACATTTTCTCTTCGGTTCCTTATCTAAAGTTTGAAGAGTAAAAAAAAACAAAAACATCACTTTGTGATGATATAGTGGGAGGAGAAAGATGTTAGCTTTTCTCTGTATAAAATCAGAAAACGAATTAAACAGTTGACTAAGATGGGATGCAGCTAATTTTTAGCCGCTTCTCTGTGTTATGAAAGTATTTAGAGCAGAAGAAACAGCTTTGGATTGTTGCAATTTATTTATTTATTTGTATTGTAACAGATTATAACACTGACAGAGCTCTAGGCAGTGCACATAATCCTTTCACATTTCCCATGAATTGTGGCCTGGTCTGGGAGAGCGTGACTTGTCCAACGTCACCCAGACAGTTGCAGGGCCTGAAGATGGACTTAACACCTGGTCTTCCTGCTAGATCACTGTGGCTCCAATTGCCAATGTATAAACTACAAGGTGAACCACCTGTGATAATTAACTTTTGCATCCACTGCAGGTAGGGTACAAATAACATGATGAAATGGAGGCAACAGCTATTTCCCCCTCCCCCGCCCCCGAATACAGAGATTCACTGTCTGTATTAAGCTTGTTTATGCAAAAAGTAGGGCTTGGCATTTAAAAAGATAAGTGCTAGGAGCTGAATTCCAGCTGAAATTAGAAACCATGAAAGCTCACTGAAATCAATACAGAGGACCTTTAAATTCATTTGAGATACTATCTCTGACATGCAGGAATGCAAGAACTGTACAGAATATTGTTGAATATTATCCAGCAGTTTCTTAGCCTCTGAGCAGTATGGTGGTACAGAGCCCTGGTGGCGCAGTGGTTAGAATGCAGTATTGCAGGCTACTTCTGCTGCCTCCCAGCTGCCAGCAGTTTAGCAATTCTAAGTCTCACCCGCTCAAGGTTGACTCAGCCTTCCATCCTTCCGAGGTTGGTAAAATGAGGACCCCGATTGTTGGGGGGGGCAATATGCTGGCTCTATAAGCTGCTTAGAGAGGGCTGTAAAGCACTATGAAGCGGTATATAAGTCTAAGTCAGTGGTTCTCAACCTTTTTAATGCCGTGACCCCCAACCGTTCATAAGTCGAGGACTATTCAATCGATCGTAAGTCAAGGACTATCCAACCGTCGTAAGTTGAGGACTTTCCCTGCCCAGGAGCGCTGCGCATACGTGGTGCCGCCCCCTGCGCCGGCCAAGGCGTAGCTGGCAAGGGGCAGCGACGGCGCAGAGTGACCACTGGCTGGGCCACCAGCTGGCCCAATCCAAGGGAGGTAAGGCACCCACTGGGCCCCACACGGGCCAGCAACCCTCCCTGCGCCCGCCAGCCTCCCACCCCTGGCCCTCTTTTACACATTTTTAGTAGTTGCTCAGCAGGGAGGGATGGAAACTTCCAGACAGCTCACCTTCGCTGCAGACAACTTGCAGCACCGTTTGCAGAATGGGACTTTTGGCGGGCTCAGCAGGGCAGAGACAGCCTGGACAATTCCTATTGGCTTTTGAAAGCCAATAGAATTAGACTCTATTCAAGAGAGTCTATTCTATTGGCTTTCAAAAGCCAATAGAATAAAAGGGAGTAGCACAGCTAAGGAAAAGGGGGGGAAATGGCAGACTGCGTTGTTTGGCAACCCCCGTGAAATGGTCATTCGACCCCAAATGGGGTCATGACCCACAGGTTGAGAACTGCTGGTCTAAGTGCTATTGCTATTGCTACTAATTTCTTAGTTTCTCTGGGTGAATTAATTTGCAGAATAGAGTAAGACAGTGGTTCTCAACTTGTGGTCTGTGGACCCCTGGAGGGTCACGATGTCATCATGTGGGATCCACAAAGATTTGAAGAAATATTATGATTTAAGTCTTGAGTTAAGTCTTGGGGTCTGTGGCCATGGTCCGTGGCCACAAAAGGTATTTAAAGGGGGTCTGTGGTGAAGAAAAGGTTGAGAACCACTGGAGTAAAATCATACTGTCAACATTGGAAGCTCTAAGCAAAATTTGGTTCCAGCAAAAACTATTATTAAACGTTCCTCCTTGCATTATGAAATTACAGTTTCTTACAACATTTATTTTAAAGGAAGAATTATATTGAAGCAGGTGTGCTAAAAGATAATTGGAAACTTTCTAAAAAGATTGCAAATGAGATGGATTTGTTTTTGGAGTACCTAATCCCCATTAATAACCGATTTGTCTCTTGACTTGAATTGCATGTCATCTGCAAGTAGTGATAATTGTAGACTGATTCAGTGGAGGAAAAAAAAATCTTTGATTGGGCTTGCATAGTACATTAAGCCATGATTTGCTTAATCACAATTTGAATAAGCCATAATTGGTTCAGTTAATATAATACAAAGCCAAAAAATAAATTTTACTGTGGCTTCAGTTTATAAAAGCCTAACTTCTGTATTTTTGCCTGTAATACACAGTAATTTTCAGTGTTTCATGTATTGGATCCTTTTCTACGGTAATGTGATTATGGTACTTTATGGGACTGCACTAAGCCAGCAATGAAAAGCCAGTGCTTTAATGCCTTAATTAAATTTATGGTGTGTATTCATGTTCTTACAGTATAAGAACATACAGAGTAAGAAAGTATAAAATATCTCATGATGAATATTTCATAGAGGGCCAAATGATAACAGTGATCTCAAAAATGTGTGCATATTCCTGAAACATGTAAAATAATTTCACATCACAAAAAATATCTTCCACTTTTTGTAATATAAATTTGCCTGCAGCTATTGTTACAAGTTGTAGATTTATTCAGATAGATGCCAAAGAGTTATTTTCAATTAAGGATTGGGCAACTTTTGTAAGTTTTAATTTCTAGTGTTCCTCCCCGCAAGTATAAATGCCCAATCACTATAAACTATAGTTAAATGAGTTGGCAGCATTATATAATCATATAGTACAATAACTTATATAGATAACTGTCATTAAACAAATCAGTGTGTAAATGTATTAAATTGTAGTCCAATTTAGTAAAAATCATTTGTTCAGGTATCTAGGGTTGAAACTTATCGTCTGTTGCTAATGTCAAGCCTATAAAATACAGAAAGATTTCATCATGCTTTGTGATGGCAAAACAGCCAGATTCTGTGTGGTATAGGCAGAACGTCGTATCTTTGTAGTTGTCCAGTTAATGATCATTGTTCTTAATTATTCAATTTTAGCTACCAGCCCAGGCAGGTCTAACATCACGGTCACTAGTTCCAACCAGTTTGGAAACACTAGTTTCCAATTCTGGAAATTTTGGAAAACTAGTTTATAGCATTTACTGTGGAACAGAATAGTTTACTGCTTGCGCAAAGACTTGATTTAAAAAGATGAATCTAAGTTTATTCCCTCCATGCGGCTTAGAATGTTCCCAGTATAAGCTGTTTGGAGTTTTTTGCATTATAGGTAAGAGCAGGAGAACAACTTAACAAGAAAAGGTTTTCTCTGTTGGACTCCACATTCCTTTTAACACCATTCCACATGTCCCTTAAGAGGTCATTTCTTGACCACCACCCCCATTCTGGTCCGTTATTATCCAGTCTTCAATGTTCTGTTTGTGGAGAAGGTTGTGGAAAAGGTGGTCAGACAGCAGTTACATAGATTTTGGAATAAATGATTTATCTAGACCTGTTTCAGTTGGGTTTCAGACCAGGGCAAGGTATGGGAACAACTCTGGTCTCAACTTGTTGATTACCTTTGGTGTCTGGCAGAGTGGAGGTTATGCATCCATTCTTGTGCAATTTGACCTCATGGGTTTTTAATATCAATTGCAGTGTCCTTCTGGATTAGTTATGGAAGATGGAAGTGGGAGGAACTGTATTGCAGCCTCCATTGATGGGGAGAGATTGTGCCCCTGGCCTCTCATTTTGGGATGCCTCCTGGCTCGACATTCCACCCCCTCTCCTTTTTACATAAAACACTAGGTGAGGTCATCTGTTAGTTCAGGATTCTAGTATCTGTATGATGGTGACGCCCAGTTTTATATCTCAACCCCAGACTGTGCAAATGAAGCTGGTGTTGTGTAGCCTCAATGTCTTGAGGCCGTTTGGGTCTGGCTGGGGCGGAACAGGCTTTGGCTCAATCCTGGCAAGATTTGCTAGGTGTGGCTGTGTGGCCTCAGATTCGGAGATGATTTCATTGTTCTTGGCTTGGGCAGCAGCAGCACTACTACCACCACCACCATCCTTTTGAAACTGGTGCGGAACTTGGGGTCCTTCTGGACTCAGAGTTGTTGCTCAAAGAGCAGGTGACAGTTATGACTAGGAGGATCTTGGCAAAGGTTCATCTTGTGCCCCAGTCATGCCGTTTCCTCAAGCTGGAGGCCCTTCAGGCCCAGTTGTGCCCTGGTTACTCCATGACTGAATTAGTGTAGTACACTCCGGAAGCTACAATTGATTCAAAATGCAGTAAACAAACAGTAATGAGTAGCAGTACCTGCTGCTTCTTAGACTGCATTGGTTGCCAGTCAGCTACTGGTTGCAATTCAAGTTGCTAGTCATCACCTATCAAGCCCTTCATGACACAGCCTGGATGTGTGAGAAACTGCCTGTCTCCAGTTATTTCAGTCTTTCTGGTACGTTCAGGCAGAGCGGGTGGGCTCCAGGATCCTTCCATGGACAGTCTTTGACTTACAATTAAGCCGCCCCAAATTTCTGTTGCTAAGGAAAATAGTTATTGAATTTTGCTCCATTTTATGACCTTCCTTGCCACAGTGAAATGAATCACTGCACTTAAATTATAACACAGTGGTTATGTGAATCTGGCTTCACCACTGACATTGTCAGGTCACAAAAAGTGATCACATGCTCCTAGGACAGTATAACTATTATGATGCCAGTTGCCTGGTGTCTGAATTTTGATCAGGTGACTATGGGGATGCTACTATGGTCATAAGGGTGCAAAACAGTCATAAGTTACTTTTTCCAGTGCCATTATAACTTTGAAAGGTCACTAAATGAACTATTGTAAGCCAAGAACTACCAGTATTACTGTCATCTTTAGAGACTGAGGAAGTGTGTCTTCTCTGCCATGGCTCCTGCCCTCTCTCTAGGACACGCAAAAGTCCTTAAGGCCTGGCCTTGGTCCCAATCCTGAGATTCAGGTATTTGTCGTGCCCCATTTGTGGTTTTCTGTTAAAACTGTTTTGACTGTTTCAATCTGCACTGTTTATGTTGTTTTATGATTTTAACTATTTTTACTGTTTTTGAATTTTTATAAGCCACCTAGAGCATCTGTAATAAATTTAAATATATAAATAGCAACCGAGAACAGTACAGGAAACAGCAGACCAGCAATAGGGATAATGATAATGACTTCAATATGCTAGAAGTATAAATAAACATTCATCTGAAGCTCACTATTTTTTTTTATTGAGAAAGGAGATTGCTGCTTAAATCAGTTATCTACAAAATATCTTCAGGCCTCTGTATCTTTTCAGAGCATAAACCAAACTTAATATCATTACTTCAAGACATTTTCAAGTACAGTTGAGCCCTACAGTGATAAATAGAAGAAATATACAGTCATCTGAATAAGTAAGTACACCCCCCCATTGAAAGTATTGGTGTTTTCAAAAAAATTTCAGCAGAGATATGTGACCTTCATTTCAACAATATTTATTATTTTATTTTATTTATTTAGCGTATGGTGTTACATTAGCCAGGAGACTACAATGCTAATACAGAGTAGTAGTTTGGCTGCCAATTTACTAGCTCTGTTGTGGTACATGTTCACGCGCTTTCCAAGGTGCACCACAGGAGGGCAAACTAGTTTCGCATCAAAAGAAAGATGGGCGGCTCTTCCTGCAGGGTCATCCAAAGTCTTTTCCCTCGCAAATGGGCATCACAACTGGGAAGTTTCAGAACCGGCAGGAAACTGCCTGCCTACATGAAACACCAGTTCGTCTCCTCACCGAAGTACTCATTTATCTACTTGCATGTAACATATTTTTGAACTGCTAGGTGGGCAGAAGCTGAGGCAAGTGACAGGACTTCTGGAAAAATGAGCACTGGATAGACCAGGCAAAAATAACAGTTACTGGGCCCCAGAACTAAAAGACATGTTTGGCACAGCATTTTTTCATAACCTGATCCAACTGAAAAGCATGGTAGTGGGGAACTGTTATAGTTTTGGGCTGGGCAGTACATCATCACAGAACCTACTGTGAATTCTTCATTGTACCAGAGGGCACTTGGGAGTAATGTGAGACCATCTATTAGAAGATTGCACTTGAACTGAAAGTGGACCACGCAACATGACAATAACCCTAAGCATTCCAGTAAATCCACCAAGGAATAGCTGGGGAAAAAACAAAGATTTCTAGAATGGCTGAATCAAAACCCAGATCTTAATTCCATCAAGATGCTGTGGGATGATTTGAAACGGGCTGTGCAGAATCTTTGAAACATTTAACAGCTGGAAAAAAAATCTGCATGGATGATGGGAAAAAAAAACCCCAGTCAATATCAGAGATTGGGACACAGTTCTAAGAAATGTCTACTGCTAAGAAGATGTTTCTGCCAACAGGGACAATATCAGCCGTAAGGAATGGCATATTTTTAGTCAAATAATTGCAAAGTCAATTTTTCAGTTGTTTTGTTCAACTACATCACTTTTATATAGTCTTTGAATGAAGATAATATATTTCTATGAATGTTTAAAAATTTTTTTTTACATAGGGTGAACATTTTCACATAGAGTGTGGTGGTATCTGGCATTGAATTGCAGGAGGGAAAGGCTGTTCCCCAAGGAGCTAATAGACAAATTAACATTGAGTTGTTTTTAGGCAGAAAGAGACGCAGAAAGGATCCTCCCCAAATCTTCACAGGATTTTCTGATAGTTATGTAGAGTGTGCTTTAATCTGGCAAGTTTCCTGTCTACGGGCAACAACCGCAACAAACTACTCTGAGTAATTTATTGAGTCACATCCCAACATTTATCTTGCCAGACAAAAAGCGCAGGCTGTCGGGTAAATCCTGTTAACGTTTAGGGAGGATCCCTTCTGCGTCTCTTTCTGCATACTAAGGATTCTGTTGATTTGATTTGTCTCTTAGTGCCTTTGGAAAAAGAGACCTTCCTTCTTGCAATTCAACACCAGATTTCACAACAAGAATCAGCAAAGAAGATTCTTATACAAGTAGCCCTTGACTTACAACTACACCTGGGATCAGAATTTCTATTGCTAAAGGCAGATGTTAATTAAATTATGCCCAACTTCATGACCATTTTTTTGCCATTTCACCTAACAAGATGAATCACTGCAGTCATTAAATGAATCCAGTTCTCCCATTGACTTGACTTGTCAGAAGTTGACTGGGAAGGTTGCAAATGACAATTGCATGATTCTAGGGCACTGCAACTATTATGAATACATGATAGTTGCCAAGCACCTGAATTCTGATCATGTGACTGCGGGGATGCTGTGACAGTCGTAAGTGTGAGTAAGTAAGTAAGTTACTTTTTCAGTGCTGTTTTAACTCTGAATGGTTGCTAAACGAATGGCTGCAAGTCAAGGGATTGCCTGTATGAAATTAGTTTCTATGTATACTCAAATGAGAGTTTGTTTTAGCTAGGGATGCTATTTAATGCAAAGTGCATTGCATTTATATACAGGAAGGGCTACTTGTTTTGGCCTGTCTTCCCCTATACTAGTCCCTCTTTTAAGTCCCTATAAAGTTCAGTTTCACTGAGCTTTGATTCAGAAATCAAACAAAACAGCTGACTCTTTCATTTCAAAATCCTTTGTCCCAGACGCTACGTGTTCGCCTGATGGAGTATGGCAATACTTTTGCATGACTCTTCTGCCAAGACAATCTTTCTGCTTCAAAAGCATACTTTGGTCGCATGCATTTCTGAAGCCAGATCAGATATATCACCTTGAAAAAATATTTGGGAGGTCAACAAAATAACGTCCAGTTGTCATTTTAAAGCACAGTGACAAACGTCTTAGATTTTTATAAACCAATAATGAAAAACCAGAAAAGACTGATTGACAAGTGAAACAGTGTTTAATATAGTTGTTAAATTAAACAGATTGCAATTTCCATGGGAAATCCTAACTGCATTCATCTTGTAAGAGCCAGAATAAAGAGTGCATACCCCTTGAAATGATCATGACACAGTCAACAATCACAGTCAGAGATACAGGCGACTGAAAATTTCATTGACAACACAATTGCGCAAGGCAGTCTGCTCAAATGTTAATGCACACTTCAAAGCAGGAGGCCAACGTAAAAAAAAGACCCTATATTGTGCTATTAATTAAATTTTGGAAGTGGTAAATGACACCTTAAAGAAAGGGTGGAAGATAAAGAACAAGCTGAAGTACCATGTAAACGAAGACCTTTGGAAATCAGATTTTGTTTAAAGGTTAAAAAACATATAGTACAAGGACAAACTTGGCAGTTTTCTACAAATCAGACTGTACTATGGCTCCAGGATATACCCTACTAGAAGAGAAACAAATGAACATAACGGAAATGAGATACTACTATGTTCTTGTTTAAAAGAGCTCCACATGAGAATTCTGTTAACCAATTTAATAAATTGAGATTTTATTTAATTTCTTGGTCAGAGTTCAGATCTCATGTCATAGCCATTTAGCTTATTAATATTACTAAAAATCTATCTTGAAAAGTAGAAAAAAATCTGTCAAAGGTTATTAATTTTGGAGCTAGCCAGGTTCAATATAAATTCTTGTATTGAAATATAAAAATATATGCTTTCTACACTTGAATATTTTGATAAAATGTATGGGCATTGAAAATTCATGATGAACCTATTTATAAATGCGTATCAGTCCTCCTTTTCTTAAAAAATTGTTAGGCCATCCCAGAATTCCGCAATCAATTTTGTTGTGTTATAGACAAAAAAAAAAAAAAAATCCAAACTTTCCCAAGCTTTTTTTAAACTAAATGCCAGTTCAGTGAATTGAAAGTAGAATTTAATTCCCCACCTCTTCATAACAGCAACATTTCTAGACAATATTCCACAGCAATTCGTTGCACATTATTAAATCATTAAATATTTTGATTTTTTTTTATTTTGGTTCTTTGAATATTGGAAATTGTTTTTATCCCAGTGTCATTCACTTACATTTCAAAAGCTATTTCCAAATTGGGGATACATTTTATCTTTAACTTTATTTGGGCTAGTTCTTGCTTTTCTTTGTTTTTTTTAGCCTAAGGTCTCATAACCTGCATTTTATTTTTATTTTTATCCTGGAGCCCCTTTTAAGCTTCTGCTTGCTTCCTCGACTGCACAGAAATTGAAAACTGCCAAGTCTGCAACTCTGAAAAGAACAAAAAGAACATCCACGATTTTATAGCTTATGTACACCTCCCAAGATGCTGTTGTGTGCACAGCCACCAGTTCTGACTCAATTTCATGCTCACTCAGCAAGAGGCTTCTCCCTGCCAGCTAAATTAAGAGAGAGACCGAAGGAAAGATCTCTCACCGATCAGCTCTCAGGCAAAGGGGCCCAACCCGGAGTCCCCGTTTCCCCTCTCCTCCCAGGCAGATTATGTCAGCGAAGGGAATGTATGTCAGGTGCAATCAACTATGGTGCGTGTATGAATGGATCAAGATTGCTCAACCCAAAAGATAAAAGCAGCTGTACCAGATGCTCAGTGCTTGCTTAGACTGCTGCATGTGAGTCTCTCCTTTTTCTACACCTTTTCACATAGCGGTTATGTGTACTGCGTTCTAGCAGATACACAAGCTGATCACTGTTGCACAATTGGGATGAAATTTTAATACACAAAATTTTCAAAATATAGAATTTTGGTATATTTATTAGCGTCAGTGTTTCCCATATTACAAAATACAAAACCTCCCAAACCAATAATCCCACACGTATCAGAAAAATCTCCCCAACCCACAGGAAGATTTAACAGCTAGTCATTCACCTGTGAACCAAAATGCACCAATAGGAGTTAGAAGGTCTTTTCATTTAATAAATACATATGAAAAATTCTTTTTCCTCACTTTAAACAATTAACTCTCCCTCCTTTAAACAGACCTCTCTTGTTAAAATGAGAAAGCCTCACATTTGTGTAAGGGTTAGGGATAGCAAGAGTACATAACAAGGCAACTTTTCCATTTAAAAACATTACCGATGGCATAATTTAAAAAGGCCCTTTGTAAAGAGTTACAGTGGGCAACAACTTCCATTTTAAAAGCCCACTCAAACAGCTAAGATAAGAACAGTGGCACATTCAAGGAGCTGACAGCACAGACCAGAAATAGTATGGGAGTGCACAGCCTTTCCAAAATAATGCTGTTCATTTTAGTTTTCCTTTTTGTTGCAATGAATCATACTTTCCTTCCACCAAGTAAAAACACTGTGTTACTTCAAATAAATACTTAAATAGTTTTAAGTCCTGTGTAGCAGCCACAACGAAGATCTCAAATCCACCTCTTCATCTCCACATTCCACTAAACATACATCTTTGGTCAATTCACTTAACGTTCTACTTTCGGAAAAAGGTCTGCAGTAGTGCTAGGTGACTTCTGAAGTGTGTGTGCTAGGCAGCCCAAGCTGTGTTTCTTTTTTTTCCCCTTTGCACACAATCCTACTAAAAAGGCATCGCATGAAATACTCAACTGTGCCTTGGGATTAGCTTCACTGTGAAACAGTGACATTTTCTCCAACTTGCTATTGTGTTTGAATCAATGGAGTCATCCTTGCCCACTGTCGCTAACTTGCTGATGGGCCTTCATTTAGGAAGTAGGTGGTCATTTCTCCTTTACCTTTGACTTTCACAACCCCTCGGCATTCTAGTTGGTAGTTGTTGATGGTTAAGACCTGATACATGTCTGTGGTGACCTGGAAAGTATTCAAAAAGAAGAATCACTGTTCAGCTCCCTCAAGCCCTCTCATTAAACGTTTATCTGGGATTATTGGAGAGAAAACTTTGCACTCCGATTATGTACACAGTACAGAGGCCTTGGCACTTGCCAAAGCATCGGAGGAAGCGGAGTTTTAAACAAGGCGTATAACTCTGCTGAAATCATGTTCTGTCTCCATATGGAAGCAGAGGTTGGAGAACTGATGCTAGGCAAGTCTACTAGATTTAGAGTCCATTATACTCAAGAAGCCTTACTATCCAATTGCCAGGCATAAGCATTCAACCTCTAAACACAGATGCTGGCTCTATTAAAAGGAGGGTGCAAAGTACAGAGGGGGAAGGCAGTTGCATCAAATGTATGCTGAAGTATCTTCTCCTCTCTCACTATTATAAGTTTTGTAAGTGCTGCTGCAAGCAGAGTTTGGAAAGGTTAAAAAAAAAAAAGGTGTCAGAAAGACTCACCTGAATCCTATCAGGGACTCCTGTACTGTCCATTCGACTAGCTACATTCACAGTGTTGCCCCAAATATCATACTGGGGCTTACGTGCACCTATGACTCCTGCTACTACAGGACCAATATTGAGCCCTAGAAACAAAGCAGTAAGGAGTTAAGACTTCCAAAAATAAATGGCTGCTTACTAGTTACCATCAGAAAATCACATGCAGCAACAATACAACCATCAGATTCATCCCCAGGCCTCATTCACCTCTACTAAGTTTTGAAGAAGTCACTTTGTATAAATAAAAGAAAGAAAGGAAGCAGTTTACTGCACACCCTTCTTTCATTTATTTATTTAGCTAACTACTAGAGTAATTTATATATCACACCAGAATCATGTTTTTTTGAGGTGGGAGGCCATATAAATATAACAAATAATTTGTAGATTCACATTTTCCCACAAATGTTATTTTTTAAAAATTATTTTAATAAAGTTTTTTTTTTTTAAAAAATGAGCAAATACAGAGAAACTGAAGGGAGACAGAAAGAAAGCAGGGGAATAGGGAGAGAAAAAAAGAAACAATCCATCCTTCGCACTAAGTTGCAAATAAAAATTATAAATATTTGGAAACCAAAATGCAATCTACTCCCACTGACTTCAGTGGAAACATTAAGAATTTTCTTAAATCTTTTCTGTCGAAATCAATCAGGATAGGACTCAGTCACAACCCTATCAAAGTGTTTCTGGCATGCCCGAAAGGATATCGCCTCTTGAGGTTCCTGTCTTGCCCGTTAACCTTCTGCAGCTTCCGCAAGTCACAGGAATGAAATGTGAATACATATTCTGTAGAAATGTCTGAACTGTAGAACCATTATTTTATTTTATTTCGACTGCAATATGTGCCCCAAACACAATCAGAACAAACTATGCCTGCTCTGGATATTACACAGTAAATTTCTCTATCTGGGACATCAGTGTGAAGGAAATAATACAAAGGGGGAAATGGAAAAATGATGACAATGAGATAGCTCTCAGTTTTGCATTTTTGGTCCTAGTGAAATGCAGACCTATCAGGGTGTAGTTACAAGCCTATTGACTGGGAAGCTTTGCGTTGATACTAGTGTGTATGAATGTGTGAAATTCTGGAAGCTGAAAAGATCACCGATTACTTGCTTATCTTATTGTATGCTTATTCTTAGGTATCTTTTTGTATCTGGAATGATTTATGCTTGTAGCTACTGTGCACCAAAGAGCACATTTTGTGATGCAGGGGTGTGTTTTGATTTTCCCACTGTCGGTTGGACATGTTATATAATTTGCATAAGTCATAACTGGCACTGCCAACTGAATACCAGTCAAAAGAAACATGATTACTTGCATTCAGTAGCTTCATATGAAATATGGCATTTGCTTTTTTTAATCGCAGAGAGGGGATTGAGAGGGTGAATTTCTGGAACATAAAGTACAACCACAATATTTACCTATTTTCATCTGGAAATTGTTGAACGAATGCTCATTGATGTATTTCATTTGATCCATTAGCCTCATTGCAAAGTCCGCCAGGGCCTTGATATGCGTTTTGCCCACCTTGTCATAGGTGGAATCATTAAGACCCGAAGCAGCCATATATGTGCTCCCTATTGTTTTGATCTTTTCCAGCTGTCGAAATTGGTCTTCACTTATTATCTACAAATCCAAGGAAGGAAAAGGAGACACGTGTAAATCAAGTCATGCTCTGTAAATGATCTGTGCACAATCCTGGATATTACATCCATTAGCAGCTAAAACAATCCAGCATGATTCATATATGAAAATAAAATAAATGAGCTATTTGGATCCTGAGTACAGACCTAGAGATTGAACTATATTAAAACACTAAATTAAAACACGAAAACAGCTATTGGTTGTGCCTTGTGGAATGAGATAACTTGCCTCAGCCAACTCACCATGGTCATCTCACCATGGCCAAACTCACTGCGGGACAATTCAACAATTCAATTTAATTATTTAAAATAATTTAAAAAATATTTTAATTTTTGTAATTCACATTTTATTTTGTCCCTCCTTTGGCATCCTATCTCTAATGATTCTATTAGACCAAAGGTCACCAACCTTTCTTGGTTGATGGACCAGAGGTAAAGGGAGGGAGAAGCATTTTACACACATGCACGCACACATGGGGCCGCGAGCACAAACTTGCATGATACTAGCCCTGCCCTGTTCTTGTGTGGCACACAGCACCCGTTTTCGTGCCCCGAGACTCAGCGGTGGCCTGTTTTCGCACCCCGCAGCATGGCGTTGACCCATTTTCGCGCCCCACAGTGCAGCAGTGTCCCATTTTTGCGCCGAGATGCAGCGGCATCCCGTTTTCGCATCCCAAGGCGCAGCAGTGGTCTGTTTCATGCCCTGCAGCATGGCGGTGTCCCGTTTTTGCACCCCGTGACATGGTGTCCTGTTTTTGTATCCCACAGCTGTGGCACTAGCACGAGTGGGGATGTGTGCACGCACTGGCCAGCCTGTCCCACGGCCTGGTGGCCAGCAGGCCACGGTCCATTACCGGGCCATGGCCCACAGGTTTGGGACCCCTTGTATTAAACTATTTCTTAATATTAGTGTAACTCTTGTCCCGTGGTGAGTTGTCCCACAGAAAATTGGCCATGGTGAGTTGGCTGCAGAAACTTGTGTTGAGTTGGCCATGGCGAGTTGGCCATACTGAGTTGACATAGACTCTCAAACACTGACACACATCATTTGTCCTTGGGTTAATAAGTCCTAGATCTTCTGATGCAATATTCTAGCCCAGTATAGGAGGCAATATTTTATAATGTTTCGATATAATATAATACAATATGAATATATTCCTGTGTGTTCAAATTCCTGTCTGTGTTTAGTATAATACAAATGACATGTCAATGTTTGCTATCACACACAGGTAATTGAGTTAACACTATTTGCACTTTTAATTGTATGGCATAGATTATTCTGTTATAATGTAATTTCTTCTTTGCTACAAAAAAAGATTTAAGAAAATCCAAGCTAGCTATAATGAATAAGTTTCCTAGCAAGTACATGCATGTTTCAGCTGCCTTGACTCAATTCCTACTTGCCCCGCTCTATGGCACTAGGGGCCAAAAGACTAAGTAGGTGACCAGGACATGCAATCACTCAACTGGGATAGGAAAACTAGTTCCATGAATTCTAAGAGTTTTGGGGAACTCTTTACGACTGTAGAGAAGGTTCAATTGAATTTTTGTATTAATATCTATTAGAGCAGAAAGTTTAAAAATTATTTGTCACTTAAAGAACCCCTGAACCTAGACAACCAAGTGTCAAAGGTAATGTTGTGTGGAATTTACATAGTGATCGGTCCTCAGCATGAAAGAGACCATTGTTCTCCTTGAATTTGCTCACCTCATCAAAATCAGCAATGATTTCATTGAGGAGCCTCAAGCACTCCACCCCTTCATTATTGGCCTCCAGCTCCACGTAGAATTCTGAGAAGTTGCTGATGGAAGCAAACATGACAGCCACACATTCACAGGACTGATAATACAGTTCATCGTTTCTCCGCTCCTGTGCAAGAAAGTGGGCTGCTACATCCTTTGGCAAGATATTATGGAGAAGCCGTCTGTTGTAGGCCTGCAGCTCCTCCATCTCCTCCTTTTCTTCAGTAGCCTGAAGAGAGAAAGAGAGAGACAAGGAGGTGGTTGCAAGTTAACTTCATTTATGAATGAAATGGGAAATGGGCTGGAAATAAATATGCATGGAATGTAATAGACTGGTGATAACAGAGTCACCTGTTACACTTCATCGGGTTCTAATCTTAAGCATACTTAGAAGACCTATTACTGAAAGTATTAGTTCTGTCCTCAAAATTGAACTCAAATATGGGTGGAAGCTTCATTTTGAGTTCTGATTCAGTTTGGTGAGGCTGATCAATCGGAGTAGAATTCCATGAAGAAGAAAACCATTGACGTTCGTAAAAGCAGCAACTTTTCCAAGATTGTTATCCTTGAGACATAATTTAATCAAGTAAAATTGCTTAGTTTTTGAAAAGAACTCCCACCGAATTACAATACTCTTCATTTAGTCAATTTACAATATTTATGCAACACTTTTCCCACGCAAATGTTCTGAAAGCAATCTAGGAAATGTGCTTGTCAGTAATCTTTATCTAAGCTATAGGCCCACTACGCTAAGATGGTGCCTATCGGCCCCCTGTAGATTATCTACAGCAAGATATCTGTGATCATGATGTGAAAAAAAAATCCTGTATAAGCTTCCTGATCTGACAATTCTAGTTCTGATTTATGAGCCCAGTAAGTAGCCCAACAAAATAACAGCTTGAGCAGCAATCATGTATGATCATAAAAAGGTACTCTAATGTAATATTAAAGACATGCCTGCAAAAATATGCATCTGCAGACATACACACCTGAAGCTTCCAAAGGAAATCCAGCCTCGCTGTGGATTCCACCTGCTGTGCATGTAGATAGACCGCCAAGACAAAAACAGTGATGACAACAGGGGTTACAATCTTCAAAGCAACCCTGGACACATTGGAAGGACTATACAGGAAACAAAATACACAAATCTGAAAATTATAATGTAACAGTGACTCAAGCATAAAGAACATAATAATGCCTTCTATGTTGACAAATCAAATCTTCCAGTAAATTAAAAAAATCAGGAAGAAACAGAATTTTATCGAATATGGAATAAATTCTATAGATGCAGGGGGAAAAAATGGAGGTCACAAATAACGAGATAAGTTAAGATAGAGACCAAAAATGTATAGTTTGTATATAGATATATTATATGTAATTAATGTACAATATGGACTGAGATGTCAGTCAAAGACGATTTACCATGTTCAATGTTTTTAATCCTTTTTTTTCTTTGTACTCAATAAAAACTTATTAAAAAAAAATCTTCCCGTATTTCTCACCCCTTGAAATGCTCCCAGAGGGCTTAGAGTTCAATTTCTCCATGTTCTGCATGTCCCTTGTTGCATTTTTATTGATTGATTGATTGATTGAATTTATTTGCCACCCATCTCACAACGAAATGACTCTGGGCAGCTTCAAGCATTAAAATCCTAACTAATAAATATTGTTAAAAGAATAATAAAAAAGAAAGAAATCCCAATCAAGATAAAACATAGTTAAAAGATGGGGAGGGACACGACAGGATGCACGGGGGGGGGGATGTGTGATTGTCTTTTAATTCAACCACCTCCAATGTGATGCTCCCCCATTGGGACTCCAAGCCATCTGGCAGATCCAGGACAGAAGGGTAGGAGCCAATCTCACCTCGGGGGGGTAAGATAGTCTAAAGCAGTGGTTCTCAACCTGTGGGTCGGGACCCCATTTGGGGTCGAACGACCATTTCACGGAGGTCGCCAAACAACGCAGTCCGCCATTTTTTCCCCCTTTTCCTTAGCTGTGCTACTCCCTTTTATTCTATTGGCTTTTGAAAGCCAATAGAATAGACTCTCTTGAATAGAGTCTAATTCTATTGGCTTTCAAAAGCCAATAGGAATTGTCCAGGCTGTCTCTGCCCTGCTGAGCCCGCCAAAAGTCCCATTCTGCAAACGGTGCTGCACCAGTTGAGTAGTCCTCGACTTACGACCGGTTGAGTAGTCCTCGACTTACGACCGGTTGGGGGTCGCGGCATTAAAAAGGTTGAGAACCACTGGTCTAAAGGGCAGGAGCCACAGGAGAGAAGGCCCTAGAATTCCTTGACCAACAGGGCCTGCAGCATGTCTCCTTTGCTGGTGCAGCTAAGGTGAGCCAGTCCCAGTGGGGTGAGGCAGTTCTTCATGTAACCTGGACCCCATGTCATACAGGGCTTTAAAGGTAATAACCCAAACCTTGAACTGCACCCAGCAGCCAGTGCAGCTTAACATGGGTCGTCCTAGGGACCCCAGGAACTGCCTGTGCTGCCACACTTTGCACCAGTTGAAACTTCCAAATGCTCTTCAACGGTAGCCCCATGTAGAGTGCATTGCAGTAGCCCAGATGTGAGATGACCAGGACTTGAATGACTGAGTGCAGGGACTCCTGATCCAGGAAAAGAGTGAACTCAACCAGCTGCAGTCCAAGTGCAGCATCTTGAACCAAGAGCACCCTCCCTCTTTCTGCCACAGATCTGCACCAATAGGAGCCTCCACCGATTCTAGATTAATTGTTGAAAATCAACCATTGAGATGTTCAAACACATCTCAATTGTTGAAAATGCAATTGCATCGTCCCTCATTAACTCACCATATTCCATTCTCAGTCTCATTGGAAAACACGCTAAAAGAACAAAAAGGACATATTTTAGGCAACACAAAGAGATCTTTTGTTTCTTTTATCCACCATTAGCCACTGTCTGTGGAGATTCTCAGTCATCAGATCAAAGTTGCCCCAAAGGTGTTTTTTCAAAAGGCAACTGGACCGTTTTTTTCCTTGAGGAAGGAAAAGAAAATGTTTTGCTTCATCACAAGCTTTTTCACTTGTGAATGAATCTCAGCTGATGAAGCTTCTTGGATGAGAAGTGAAAGGTTTTCTTCTTCCTCCTCAAAAAACAATCCAGTTGAAATAGCAACTTTGAGATCATGATTAGCCCTGTTTTTTTTTTCAATTTCACATATTCTTTTCTATGATATTGCTTGCATTGCTAAGAGTTTGAGTTCTGAGTCAAGATAGGCCTTTTATATCTTCTTTCACTCAACTGCTATATCCTAACTTGGCAGAATGGGATACACAAACTGGCCTGCTGAGATATGGAAAAGAAAGTTAAAAACAAAGAAAGTACAACTAGAATTGCTTTGAGCTACATGTTCCCTTTTTTTTCAATGAAACTTCTTCTTTTACAGCTAATAAATCAAATAAATGACTATAGCCTATGAGCACTGTATGTATTTCCTAGCTGGAGGGGTGCAGGCACACATGAACACATCCCTCTCATGTCCAAAATGTAACCAATTTACCCAACAAAATTGCATTCTTTCCCATGCCCCACCCATCACGCACAAAGCCATACGAAAATTCAGCCTACTGAATGTCTGGTTCACACGCAGACATCCTATGCAATATTAAAAATATAAGAAATCCTGCCCTCTGCCTTTTTTTTTTTAAACAAGAAAATCTGAATAAGGCTGGTTGGGGGAAAAAAAGTACAGCCCCAATGAATCATATAATGTCTGAGCCCCTCATAAATTCTGGGTCTAACATTGGACAATTGCAACATCAGTTTTTATTCTTTCTAACCCAATGAAATGCTGGGATACAACCATATACAGGAGCTCGGAAGTCTTGTCTATCTGCCCTTTAACAAGCTAACCTATCAATAACTGAACTGAAAAGGAACTAATCTGAGGTTGGGGCAGAGCCGGCGTTTGAAAATTTGCTAGAGGTTGCAGAAAAAATGTGGAGAAAAATAATTCCCCAGAGCATCCCTAGGAGAGATGCATTTAGGCAGCAGCATAGAACATTAGTGACTACTCCCTTCTAAGCCCCCCCTTGCTTGCCCATGACCCAGAATGAAATGTTCACAACCCACCACCAGCTTCCCAGGGGACAATTTAAGCATAAATGCACACAAACACAACACTTTTGATACACAAAAGAAAACGGTGACACTTCTTACGATCACAGTTGATAAAAACGGTTGAAAATAATTTCAGAAACATTCCCCTACCTTGTTTTTCTAGAAGCATGCAAAGTTCCATTCGATTCAATATGCAAATAAATTAAAGAAGCATACATTTAGTACAGAGATGTAATGTGCAACGCTCCATAATAACATTCTTTCAGTTTTTCACCTTGGACACTAGGGGGAGCCACAACCACTTCCAAAGAATTTGTTCTATGAGTACGGTTAACATAAGAGGTGTATCCTGTACCTTTTGGATTTAATTTTGGTTGAAGTGAGGATTTACTCTTTACTGGGAAGGATTAGAAGGAAAATTACAGAGTTAGACAAGACATCGCATATCTATGCTGCTTAGAAGTTAAGCAAATAATTCCAGTGATGAGTAAAGCTAAAGATATCTATACCTAAATAGGCATAATGTATTGGTTATGAAATACTACATTTTAAGGCCAAAGTATTTCACTTAATTATTTGGAAAATGTGAATCTTTATATCTACCAAGTTATTATTTCAGTCAATGGAAGAGTATCTTACAATTATAATTTTTATTCAATGGAAGAGTATCTTACAATTACAATTTTCTTCATATTTCAGGGTTTGTACCTTCCTGGAAATTTTACTTATATCTTGTCACAGATTTAAGACTTTGTTATAGTAGAATCAAATAGCTATGTCAGACCCAGCAAAGGAAATTTGCAATCAAATTAATGCCATTATTTTCCAGTCTTGCAGCTCAAATTAATTTTTCACATTAAACATACCTTGTATTTCTATTTAGCTAACATCAAGCTGTCCATGTATATAGCCATGCCTAAACCTTGCTGTTGCTTTTCCAGTTACAACTTCAAATGCTCTGTTGTTCTTGTGGAGTTGCAACCACAGCCCTTCCTTAGAATCAGAGAATTGGAAGGGGGCATTCAGGACTCTGTCTGGGCCTCTGCTCAGTGTAGGAAAAGAGGCCTACACATTGAGTAAATTTGTATGACAGAAAAAGTGGCATCTCTATGTAGCTAGCATTGCCATACAGTGGTACCTTGATACTCATCATTAATTAGTTCTGGGAGGTGCGATGAATAACAATAATGTTGAGTAGCAAAAAAAAATTTCCCAGGAAAAATGCAGTGTCTCACAAGGCAGCTGACATTGACAAATTCTAGCTTGTGCGTTGAGTACCAAACAAACAATGAGTCCTGGGACCAAATTTTCACATCAAAATGCATAGAGTACCAAATTTGATGAGTTTCAAAGCAGTTGAATACCAAGGTACTACTGTAGTTTGGTGGATCGGGAATCCATATTAATTCAATTAATTCCACTCCTTATTTTCCACATAACCATAATCCTGTGTAAGGGCAATATTAGCATTTTCCCCCCAGAATGAGCTTATAACTAAGTGTGGTAAGACCTCTTTACTCAAATCTCTGTGAGGGGAGGGAATGATTAGCCCAAAATCATCTAGGGAGCTTCTATAGTTGAAGGTAGAATAGAATATGCCCTGAATCTGGAAGCAGGTGCACCTAAGCTATGATTGGCTTTCCTAAAAGTTTCCCACCAGCCATAAATAGTATGCTAAGTAGTGAGTCCTAGCTATTAAAAGAGCTTTCAGAAGAAAAGTAAGTTATAAGTACCAAAACTGCAGCTCCCATATTTATTTCTTGGGAAAGATGGGCTTATTTACTTCATCCTTATTCCTGACATCTTGATTGTGAGGTGATGCAAGTAATTGCTTAAAAGTGCTCTAATTTAGCCTGATCAAAATTCCTGGCACTAGAAAATGTCTAAAAAGATGATTTGTTTTCAGATTCCTCCTTCATATGACTGCTTCTAATTTGCCTTCAATTTTCTCTTATAGGAAGAGAAAAATCATGTTCAGGTGGATTATCTCAGCAAAACAATTAAAAATATGGAAACCCCCCCCTCCCGTGTGTGATTCAGGCTGAGACAGTTTTTTTTTAATGCATTACTCACTTACCGAGTTCAATCAAAATGGCTATTCAGGGTATTTTAAGAGCATTATGAAAAATAATAAAACATTACTGGGCTAAAATGATAATAGCGGGGTAGCTAATCACCAATGGGATCAAAATTCTGCACAGCAGAGAAGCCAGCTCTAATGAGTCACTGGTCAAATTAATGAATCATTAGCACATCCAAGCAACACAACACAGTGTGTGTACTATTTCAAAGTAAGCCCTCTGTGTCGAAAGAGGCTTATTCCCAGGAACTGCACATTTAGAAGGCATCTTTGCAATCACTTAATGTCAATCTTAAAAAAATCCTGCAAGCCCAGATTCGCCCACAGAATTATATTGTTCCACCTCTAGTATCAATGCTGAATTCTTTTGCTTGCCTGGCATTGGAAACTTTGGCTGGTCCGAGTAAGATTTATGGAAACAGGCCTTCCTATACGGTGCCCTTGGGTAAATGCTGAGACCCAGTCCTGCTACTCAAAGTTGGCTTGAGAGTGGAGTGAGAGAGATCCAACTAATCAGCCTCACTCTAAATAACTTCTTGCTGATATTATAGGGAGCAATGGAAATGCAAGCAACCACCTAACCATGAATAGTTCACCTTTTAGAGCTTAAATTGAGAATCCTTCCTTCCTTCCTTCCTTCCTTCCTTCCTTCCTTCCTTCCTTCCTTCCTTCCTTCCTTCCTTCCTTCCTTCTTATTGAAGTAAATATCACTGGCTGGCCACCAAGCTACCACCAGCCTTGTCACACTGCTTAAAATTAAATGGGAAGAAATTAATCCTCAAACTAAGTGCTGGAAGCTATCCCATGCACCAATCTTTCATCACTCCACTGAGAGAAGAATGGAAGGAGTGGCCCTTATCTTTCACAATAAATTTATATTCCAATATCCTGACTCCTGCAGGTACTTCAAGTCCCAAGGAGGGTAGGGTGGGGTCCCTTTTCCAATACCATATACAAGATGGGAAATTTGTGGCAGGGATTTAATGCTAGAGAATAATTACTTTTCCTATTCTGCATCTGTTACATCATATATATCTCTTCACAGATTTCTTTCTCACGTCTCCCCATGTTACATGTCCACATAACGACACTGATTACATTCCCATTGGGTTGTGTAGCCTATCGCTACTGCAGAAAAGCTGCACAACCGATAAGGTTGTAGCCTGCCTGCAATCCATACAGCAGTACAGAGCTCTTCCTTTAGCAAAGCCTTACTGAACAGCTTTCTCAGCAGCTCCCCAAGCCAATGATAGCCACACCTACCAAAACACAGGGAGCCAGGCTACCACAGTGTCCATTTCTTGCTAGGCCAATGGCAGGGGTAGGCAACCTTGGCTCTTTTATGACTCGTGGACTTCAACTCCTAGAATTCCTGAGCCAGCATAGCTCAGCTTGGAAACCTCTCTCTTTTCCCTCAGCATGGCTGGCTCAGGAATTCTGGGAGTTGAAGTCCACGAGTCATAAAAGAGCCAAGGTTGCCTACCCCTGGCCAATGGGAACACCACTCCCTTAGAGCCAGCTGCAGTTGTGCCACTCTTGATGCTTGGATATTTAGGATTTCCCTCTATAATTTCCATGCTCCTTTCCTTGCCTCTGCTCCTCAGGTGAAAACGAAGGCTGCCCCAATATCTTGGAGATTCTCAGCATGGTGTGAGGCAAATCAAGATTTAGTTCCAGACTGACTATTATTTTGTGCATCCTCCTTACCGGTCTGTGAGAACTTGGAGATACATTTGTATTTATTGTTGTATTGTTGGGGTTTTTTTACAAATAACCCAAGGCAGCAAACATATCCAACATACCCTTCCTCCTACTATTCCCCCCCCCCAAAAAAACCTGTGAAGTGGGTTGGGATGAGATATTGCTGAAATATATTGGATAATGCCACCAATTTGGCATATGAAGTGGTAAACCTGGTTCTGGACCATTCCATTTCAGATGGCAACACCATACGTTAAAAAAAAGTATAAAAATGTGGATTTTTATACACATTTTATTTTAGAAAATGGAAAGTGTTCAGCCATAGATGTCAAATGAAGTGGTTCAGTCCAGATTAAAATATATCAATTCACATGGTTGTTCAGGAAAATTTCACACCACCAACCGTGGCCACACCTTTCCCTACGCCCCCCACCCCCCATGGACTTTTTATGTTTACCTACATGGCATTGGCTGTAACCAGAAGGTCTGCATTATCGAAGAGGGTAAGGCCTGGCACTTCCACAATGAGGACATATATAAATTCAATAATCAACATCAAAATGAGTTTCCCAATGCAGCTGATCTGAAGGAACACGGAGCAAGCCAGGAGGGTCAGTAAAACACTGTAGGTGAAGTACTGGGGGGGAGGGGAATGAAAACAAGAACAAGGGAAAAAGAAAAGAATTTCAGTAAAGATCAATTTAGCAGATTTACAAAACATGGTTAAAAAGGAATATGATCTTAGTTGCAGATTAAGACTCCTCAGTTTCAAGGGTCTCCAGGTTTCCAGGAGGCCTGTGCAACCTTTGACCTAAAATGGGAGTTCACTGGACTTGTTGGATGCTTCCCTGACAACTCAAATGATCATGGAGCTCATTCTCCCCACCTGCCCCATATACCCCATTCTATAAACAACTGACAAGGCATCCACTTCCGGCATATTCAATTGGACAGGCGACAAATGGTGCTGAGGGTACACAGCATTCGGTGCCTTTTTCTTTTTTCCATTGGTAATGGAGGAACTGACACTAGGACTGTTTTTGAAATGATTTCTAAAACTAATGAGCATCTTACAACTGCAAATGACCGCACAGGCAAATAGAACACAAACACATTTTAGGCCCTGGGGGCAGGGAGGGCGGGAAAGTAACAAGTTTAGAGATTTATTTAATCATTTTTTCCAGGCCAAACTGCTCTCTGATAATAAGCAGAAATAGCCCACATTCCCAGTGATGTAAAGAAATATCAGATACTGTCAGAAAAGAGGCATCTCTTTTAAAAGCTTACCCTCCAGCTCTGTGTGATGTGTACGTGTATCAGTACACATATGCATGTGTTTGTGTATTGTTATACATGCATGTACACCGGGTCCTTTGCAGCATGCAGGAACACAACTGTGTCTGCAGCTCCTTAAAGCAGAGAGTTGGGATTTGAAGGCAAAAGTTGCTTTGGATTGCTTGTAGACGCAAATGTGGCACCTCTATGAAGCTCTTTGAAACAACTATGACTTCTTCTGGGACTATACAGCAGTTGCAGAAAGACAACCTACAGTCCCCAGAAAAGATGCAGCCGTGCTACCGTTTTGCCCTCCGTGCTTCAAAGCAACTGCTCTGCAGTTCCTTCAGTAACTTTTCCCAGGATTGTGCGGAACTTACAGAGGTCCCTAAAATACCCTCACAAGCATGGAATAGACTGGAGTCTTTTTAAGTTGGGCAGATTTATATTGCAATTCCATACATATCTTTGCATGCACACCCTTATTCTTTTTGATGGGACTAATGTCCAAGTAAGTTTTTGGAGAGCTGCAATCTTTGTACTCCTACGAGAGAGTCCACAGAGGCCTTGCTGAATGTCCCCTCCCTTGGTGAGTTCCTCCCCTTATCCCCAATTACAATTTCTGCAGGCAGAGATACATAGAGAAACCTCTACACGGCGCAATTGGAAAGGCATGCTGCTTTAGGTTGTGGGTTCCGGAATGGGACTGCCTAGCAATTGATCGTGTTCTTGAATGTTACTCAATAATCTCATACTCGATAATCTTGCATTATGAATGCATTTAATTTTATATAAAAGGATGTGTGTCCTACCCCTTAGCAAAACTCCCAGTTCATTGCATAGAAAGCAGTAATTCGGAAGGCTAATGCTTTCCCTTCCCTGTGGTGTCCTAATTTTACAAGGCAAAGACTGATTACATGCAGGAACATTCTGAAATAAGATTATTCACTCCTCAGTCTGAAGAAGATTTCATGTTTTCATTGTATGGAACATATACAGAGGGATTAAGAATTGAGTGGCAGGCAAAAGTACAAAAACCCAAGCCCTGTTTCAATGAAGGATTCTACGGAGCAGTTGATGCCATTTTAGTATACTGTATTGATAAAGGCTGACAGAAAAACCAACACAATAATGAAGACCCCAGCAACACGTTATGTCATTTTTACCCAAAACAAATACACCCACATTACAGCACAAAGCAAATACCTCTGGAAAGTTACAGTTTGGCTGGGAAGTAGCACAGAATCCTTCTGTGGTTTCCAAGCTATAATTGGAATAGCTAATATGGCACAAATTCACCTCAGGAAGAGTGAGATTATACTCTGCAGCTATACAGTCAAGAAGGTCCACAGTACTACAGGTGAACTGGCAGAAAACAAGACATAAACATCATACAAAGAGAAGGAGAAAACAAACTAATCAAAGCAGCATTCTTTGCATCTCGCAATATATACATATCTTCGGGGGTAGTTCTTTATACTAATGCACATGAGATGGAGAGTTTTCTTACAGTGTTAAAATCTAGAGCAGTGGTTCTCAACCTGTGGGTCGGGACCCCATTTGGGGTCGAATGACCATTTCACGGGGGTCGCCAAACAACGCAGTCCGCCATTTTTTCCCCCTTTTCCTTAGCTGTGCTACTCCCTTTTATTCTATTGGCTTTTGAAAGCCATAGAATAGACTCTCTTGAATAGAGTCTAATTCTATTGGCTTTCAAAAGCCAATAGGAATTGTCCAGGCTGTCTCTGCCCTGCTGAGCCCGCCAAAAGTCCCATTCTGCAAACGGTGTTGCACCAGTTGAGTAGTCCTTGACTTACGACTGGTTGAGTAGTCCTCGACTTACGACCAGTTGGGGGTCGCGGCATTAAAAAGGTTGAGAACCACTGATCTAGAGCCCTCCATTGAAGATAAACTGCAGAGAGTTTAAGAACAAACAAAAAGAAATATTTCTTTCCACACCGCATACTCAGATAGACTGCTGACATAAAGGTGATACTTTATATGATTTTAAACAGAGAGTAGAGAAGTTTATGGAGGATTGATACATATCAACAAGTTTTAAAGGAAATATTCTTCTAGTTTGGACAAAACTCAGCAGCACTTTTTTGTGCGGCTGCTGATAACAACAGGATTGCCAACATGATCACCAACGTCCGATAATGAATATGGAAGAAGAAGAAGAAGAGGAGGAGGAGGAGGAGGAGGAGGAGGAGGAGGAGGAGGAGGAGGAGGAGGAGAAAAAGGAGGAGGAGGAGGAGGAGGAGGAGGAGAAGGAGAAGAAGAAGAAGAAGAAGAAGAAGAAGAAGAAGAAGAAGAAGAAGAAGAAGAAGAAGAAGAAGAAGAAGAAGAAGAAGAAGAAGAAGAAGAAGAAGAAGAAGAAGAAGAAGAAGAAGAAGAAGAAGAAGAAGAAGATCAAATTACATGTCAGTAACAAAAGAGACATAATAGCCTGTGCATATAGTGGTATACTCTAACAAGCAGTTTGGGGCAAGGTATGTACAAAGTAAAAATTATTTTGTTTTTATTAAATATTAAATCTAATCAATTAAACACACTGTGTATGATTATTCTATTTTTTTCTATTAATAATTACCAATCCATAACATTTTGAAAAGATTGAGGCCTTGCTCTTCAGTTTCTATAGTACTAATAATTCACACTAAAGCTCAATCACAAAAAGGAAATGTAACATACCATATTGACAAAGGCTGAGAGGAAAATCAATACAATAGTGAAGACTCCAACTAGGGTGTTATTGATCCTGGACTGAACAATCTTCCGTGAAAGAGTCTGGAGTGGACCTGGAAACAGCTGTATAGCGGGAGAAAATAAGATATTTGAAACTATGGTTTTGTACAAATATATGGCATGCTGAAATGTTACAGGCATTAATGTTTAATTGCCCAAGAATGAATTAATGGCCAACTGTCGCTCCCCACATCCATGTAATTTTTGCAGCAGGAACATATAATTGCTGAATAACTTGTTATATTGACTTCATTCTCCCTGGTAAATATTATAGCTTTTAGGTGAAAATCAGAGAATGGTATCCAAAATTAGGAATGTTTTATGATCAGGCCCACCTTTGTTTTCACTATGTGATCAAACCCTAATCCGAGAAAGATATACCAACTTGAATATGTTTACAAAATCTTCAGCATTCTGTTCTGTTTCCAAGTTGTAAGCTATTTAGACTTTTCTTATATAAAAAGGGTTAAGGAAGATCAAGGTTAGGTGGAAAACAAATGCAAACAAAATAGTCAACTGATGATATGGATGCTGAGAAATGAAAATGCCCTAAAATCTCAGAAATATGTTTGGCATAGAACAAGCGAACTACAACTAAATCTGATCATCCTAAAAATTGATGGATACATTATCAAAGATACAAAAGTGGCCCAATAGTTATCAAAATTATCTTGAATTAATAAAGTTCAAAGAACGTTGACAAATGACTTTGGATTCCCTGAAATGTATGTGTGCTCAGACTCTTATCCTGGCATGCCTAGACAGTCCTTTTTTCCTTTGTTTCTTCCTCTTCCACTCCTCACGCCTCACTCCTCTTTTTCTCTTACTATCACTAGGTTTTTGTTTGGTGTCCCCTCCCCCTTTCAACTCTCCCACACACATTTTGAATGTCACAGATCCATGGAGACCAAACAGATACTTTAGGCTTAGAATGCAAATGCAGAAATTCTATAGAAGTTAAAAGCTCCCTGCTGAGTGTTAATTTCAGCTCATCATAGTCCTCTCCACTGCCATTCCTAAAGAAAAACCCGAAAACAAAAGACAAATAGCAGCTCCCATATCCATCACTATTATTTCATCAACTAGCTTCTAAGCAAATTTCTTTTAAAAAGAGAGGAGAAAAAAAATCCCCCAATTAGTCTTTTAGCAATGGCTAACCCATCAACCCTATCCCCTTTTTGCACTTGGACTTTAGCTTCCTTCAAACACAAATATAATTATGAAACTCTTTGAGGATAGGAAACATGGATTTGCTGGCAACTCTTACAAAAAGAGAGAGGGGGGAACAATCCCCAGTAATGTTGACTATGTTTAAGTTGCTACTCTCCCCAGCACCCAATAAAAAGAATTTCTCTGTGTTTCCTAGCATCGGCAAAGGAACGGATTGGAAAGGAGACAAAAGAACCTGGTATAAGACACAGCATAACACAATATCATATTGCTAATGGTGATGATGAAGATGATAATAGAAACAGCAACAACAATAATATTTGACAGTGTTCTTGTGGTTAAACTAAGAGTATAGCACAACAGCAGCTCTTACTGTTATGGATGAATCACCGTGAAATACCACTCCATTTTATATTGGCAGAAATAAATTATGCATTGCATTGAAAACAAAATTGCAGGTAATCCTCAGCTTACGACCGTTTGTTTAGAAACCGTTCAAAGTTTAGACCGTGCTGAAAAGTTACTACAGTGCTGAAAAAAGTCTGTTCCTCGCACTTGTGACCATCACCCTCCCCATATTCATTTGATCTCAAGTTGTGCACTTGGCAACCACCTCATGTGTACGGCCAACTGCAATGTCCCGTGGTCAAGTGATCGTGATATGTGACATTTTTTATTGATTCCTGGCAAAAAGTTGCCACTTGGAAGAATGGGTTTGCATTTAAAACCGTGTTTTTTGCTTAATGACCCCGGTGAGTGATTCGCTTAACAACCATCGTAAAAAGATCGCAAAATTGTGTCTGATTTGATTTACAACTGCAACGATCTATGATGGAAATTCTGGTCCCACCTGTAGTCATAAGTCGAGGATCACTTGTGTTATCAGCACTTCTTATAAGTACTGACACCTCCCTTAAATACAGGAGCATTTTTTAAGCCGCATAGGTAAGTCTTCTCCAATCTGGTTGCCTCTAGATGTGTTGGACTTCAATGTCACTGCCCCCAAACTGCGTGATGTGGAAAGGACTGCTCTTTAAACTACCAATGAACTCTGAAACAAGTCAAATATGAAATACAGGTAGTCCTCGACTTACATCAATTCATTTAGTGACCTTTCGAAGTTACAATGGCACTGAAAAAAGTGACTTATGACCATTTTTCACACTTATGACCACTGCAGCATCTCCATGGTCAAGCGATCAAAATTCAGATGCTTGGCAACTGACTCATAGTTATGACGGTTAAAGTATCCCGGGCTCATGTGATCACCTTTTGTGAGCTTCTGACAAGCAAAGTCAATGGGGAAGCCAGATTCAACCATATTACTGAATTAACATTTTGGATATGTGATGAGACACCCAGAAAAATACAGCATTCTCCTTTTAATCCTCCAGGGAAAGATTGAAGGCAAACGAGGTCCAGGCAGAAGAAGAATATCGTGGCTTCAAAATCTAAGGGATTGGTTTGGACAAAACTCAGCAGCAATTTTCCGTGCGGCTGCTGATAAAAACAGGATCACCAACATGATCGCCAACGTCTGATAACGGATATGGTACAAGAAGAAGAAGAAGTGATTCAGTTAGCAACTGTGACAAGAAAGGTCGTAAAATGGGGCAAAATTCACTTTACAACTGTCTCACTTAGCAACAGAAATTTTGGACTCGATTGTGGTCATAAGTTAAGGATTAAAAAAAACAATAAAAATAATAAATGGTGATATATTTATGATTCTTGCTGACTGAGGGACATTTGAAAACATAATACTTTAAACCTGGAAAAGAGATCACTTTTTGTATCTATCCAAGAACCTAACTGTCTGTCATTTGATCATTTGATAATAATTTCTCAAAATTGCATAATTGAGAAAAATAGACTGTATGGGAAGTACAAATCAAATTCATCGTACCAATGAAGGAGAAATATAATTTCACGAAGCAGTAGACCTGGCAGAGAACAATAATGATTTAGGATGGAAATGTTTAATGGAAAAGGTTAATTGGCCATCAATGCCTTCCAAGGTTTGGCACTGACTGATTCAAAGATATGGAAGAATATGCAAGAAGAAGAATATGCAAGAAAAAAAACATGAAGGCAGTAAACCATGAGTTCTATTAAGACCCAGGCAGGGGAAATGGGTGCTTGTCTCAGAAATGCAGCAGTTGAATCAGAGTGGGTCACCATCGGGACTGTCCATATCAGGGGTAGGCAACCTTAACTCTTTTATGACTCGTGGACTTCAACTCCCAGAATTCCTGCTCAGGAATTCTGGGAGTTGAAGTCCACGAGTCATAAAAGAGCCAAGGTTGCCTACCCCTGGTCCCCCTCAAAATGCTTTTGCATACTTAGACAACAGTTCAGAGTCTAAGCTCAAGGAGCTGGAAAGTTCATCATTTTAACTGGGTCTTTCATTAGCTAATGTTAGCCAACGTTTACAGTTTCCTACTGACTTTTTTCTCCTTGTAAAGAAAATCAGAATATTTATGTTCTGGCTATGTTTTGTACAGCAAACAAAAATGAAGGGACTGATGGTGTCAGTCAAGGATATATGGCACCCCAGGCTATATTGACTGATGGCATCATCAGATGCAAAGATTTGTATTTTTGGAAGACTTTGGAAGAAAGGGTGGCCTTAGTGCCCTTCAAGATAAAGTCAACTTCCTACGTGGCTTTTAGCCTGAAGTCTGTCATGCTGAAGGATGATATACGGACACATATGTCTATTTATTACTTGTGTGAACATATAATGTTGTGCTTCATCAAACCAACCAAATGTATGCTTGCATACAACAATGATAATAATGTGGTATAAAATTTAAAAGGCTTGGAAATCTATATTATACATAAAACATTTTCCCCAAATTAGACCAAATTGCTTTAAAGCCTTCTTTCTGGACTTTCAATTTAAAAAAAAGTCAAATGTTGGTAAGCAAAGCATATCAGCAATGGTGCAAACCAGGGGTTTATCTTTCCAATACTGTATATTTATGTTGGTCATTCCCCATGCACAGTTCTAAGTATCCTGATAAATGCCAAATGCAAACAAGAAAAGAAATTAATTATTGAAATGCAATATTTCCTCTGAAGTTATATTAAAAATCCTATTGCATTTCAGCCCCAAATATGGCAACAGTAGAACAGTGCCCAACCATGTGAATTGATGTTCCAATAGGATGGACATTGTTTCTAACCTATCAGACATTCACTGAAAACATACTGTTCTCATATTTAAGGAACAGTATTTCCTATTGTCTTCATCTCATTTTTAAGATCAAAAGAAACTTCCAATTTTAAAACAAACCTTTTGCTAATTTACAAGTATGGGACATATAACCCCTTATCACTTTAATATTTTCTTGTTTTAGAACATAACTTTCACTCCACAAAATCCATCTGAAAAACTGCTGCTGAGCTGTGATGGGAACATTTATTAAGTACTTGGGGAGTAGTTATGTTAACATATTTAATTAATTAAATTATGTTTAAAATTAATCAGAATTTAACACTTCATTTCACTGCTTTCCTATTGTTCCTCTTGTTTGAAATATGGTTCCTAATATGTTACTCCCTTTTCCATCCAAACTCCTGGTTTAGAGTTTTAAGGACAATTACCGTATTTTCCGGCGTATAAGACGACTGGGCGTATAAGACGACCCCCAACTTTTCCAGTTAAAATATAGAGTTTGGGCTATACTCACCGTATAAGACTACCACTCTTCCAACGCACACCAAATAAAAATTTAAAAACATCAGATTTGATTTCAATATGGTAATTTTAATTCAAATGCTTATGACATGCAGGTACTTAGCAGAAAAACTGTCATTTATAAACATAAGGCTGTCATCAAACATATAAACATAAAACAGTGCAAGTGGATTAAACTTTTCCTAATTCACTCTAAAGCTGAAAGGAAGGATAAGACAATAAAACCATGGGAGCTGCCATGCTGTTTGTTTTCTAAGCTGTCAACCAAACTGAACTGATGATGATAGGAGGAAGATAAAAAACAATAGAAAGAGCAAGTGCCGGGCAAGTCCCTGGCAAGTCAGCAACGCCCATCATAACTGCAAGCTATTTTTACAGGTTTTGCTTGTGTGACAGTTTCCCTTTAAAAGCCTTCAAAATCATCCTGTTCATCATCTGATATCATAAAAATATCAATGACATCTTGTGGTACATTTGTAAGGCAGTCATCATATGGATCGAATTCCGTATCAGATGGTGTGGTCTCAGCTTCAGCTTCCTCTTCATCTTGCCACAAGTAGTCATCCTCCATACCATCTAATGAATTTGATATGCCACACTTCTTGAAAGACTTGATTACTGTTTCTGCATCAATATCATTCCAGGCTTTTATGACAAACTTGCACAAAACATCCAACTGTGGAGCACGCATGTTTCCTCCTTTTGTGAATGACTTTTCGCCGCTAACCATCCATTCATTCCACTGTTCTCGAATGCGATCTTTAAATGGCTTGTTTAGGCACACATCCAGTGGCTGTACCAACGATGTCAATCCTGCAGGAATAACTGCCGCATCTGTGTTTATTCTTGCAAGCCTTTGCTTGGTGCTGGGAGTTAAATGAGCCCTGAACATATCCCACACCAGTAGACTACGTTTTTGAAGAAGTCCACCTGGTCGCCTGCTCCATACATTATCAAGCCATAGCTTTACCCCTTCTTCATCCATCCAGCCTTTTTCATTCACATGTACAAAACAACCAACAGGGAACTTGAGTTTCGGCATTGTTTTTCTTTTAAAAATAATCATTGGTCTCAGTTTGGCACCATCAGCTGTGCATCCTAGTACCACTGTAAAACTGGACTTCTCATGTCCTGTTGTTTTAATTAAAATTGTTTTTTCACCTTTTTGATGGACAGTTTTATTTCCAACCATATCAAAATTCATTGGAGTTTCATCCATATTTCCAATACTACTTAACGCATAGCCATGTTTAATGCGCTGTTGTATTACGTATCGATGGAAACTAATTACTTTGCTATCAAGATCTGCAGGTAATTTGTGTGCCATTTTTGTCTTTTGCCTCAGTACCATATTATGTCTTTTCAAGAATCTAGTACACCAAGATACTGTGGCCTTAAATCTGTTGCTGTGATCTGGGTTAGATTTGGCCCACTGAAGTGCAGACAAACATATTTTATTTCGTGTCACTACATAACCATTTTGGCGATGCTCATTCACCATGTCTGCTACATGTTTTTCAAGTTCTGGCTCTTAATGCACACTTACCCCTTGCCATACTCTTTAACGCTTTTTCATTTGCTTTCCAGTCCTGAACCATCTTTTCTGTTACTCCATATTGTCTTGCAACAGCGCAGTTATTATGTTCCATGGCAAAGTTTACAACTTTAAGTTTGAAACTGGCTTCATATTTCCTTCTTCTTGCTGGTGGAGCCATGATCGCATCTTGACTGTTGGACATTTGTATACAGTACTGTATGTACTGGTGCTCTACTGTATGAACTGGTACAGATACTGGTGCTGTACTGTACCGGTACGTACCCAGTA